ACTTTCGTATTCATGAAGAACTGGATAGATACTGGACGGAATAGTTCTGAACCATGTCTGGTCGCATTCGGCAAGAAAACAACATATTTCATAACAGACAGGAACTGTTGGACAGCTAAAGTTAGCTCCAAGCTATTGTCACTCAACAGCTTATGTTAGCATAAAAAAAAAGAGGAACAGTCAAAGTCTAATGTAAAGTTATTAGAGGGACAACCCCGTAGTGCCATTAGCTGGAAAATGATCTACAAAAGTAATACAGCACCATGGAGACCTGGCATTTTCCCTTGGTTTAAGATATACTGAACCAATCACAAAGCAATACTGGAAATGCTGGCTCAACCTGACAGCTATCATTTTTACCACTTTCATATTCTAGAAGAACTGGATAGACACTGGATAAAATAATTGGGAGCCCCGTCTGGTCACATTTGGCAAGAAGACAACATATTTGAGAACAAATAAGGAACTGTTAAACAGCTAAAGTTAGCCCCAACCATCACCAGACAAAGCTAATGTTAGCATTTGAAAAAAAAGAGGAACAGTCAAAGTCTACTGTGAAATCATTAGAGGAACAACCCCGTAGCACCATAAGCTGACAAATGATCAGTGAGTACAGTACAGCACCATGGAGACCTGGCATTTTCCATTGGTTTCAGATGTACTTGATCAATCATGAAGCCATACTGGAAATGCTGGTGTTTGTTGGAGAATGACAGTTTTTAGCACACCTGCATCGCCTCCATTTCTGAAGACTGGAGGTTGGCACTGCTAATGTCCCCTAAACATATGGAATGAATTGAAAGGTGCTAAATCCCATTCACCTGGGATACCGCCATGCTAAGCCGCCATGCTAATGAGGTAAACTCTACAACTACGAGACACCTAAAACTCTAAATCTACTTCTTGACTTTGAGAGACTGAAAACTTGGCAGGGAAAGACAAAAATAAAAGTAAAGTAGAAAAAAATAATTAAAAAACAAGGATACTTTATCTCTTCCTTTTTTTGTTTTACCTTGAAGGTACCTCCCCAGAAAACTGTTTGGGAACAGTGGGCTGAATTTGCGCCAAACATACAGCAGCTTCACCCAGCTGCAGACTCCTGAGAGTGCTCACTGATATGATATAATGTGTGAATTTTTGGGGGATTATCGCCGCTCCACTGTGGAATGCACAACATGTCTGAGTGGGGGGATAAGACAGAGAGTGGTTATAAGGGAGCAGGAGCCTCACGATGTGCTGACAGTGACATTCTGTCTTACTCTGCTGTCCAAACAACCCCAGGCTGCTGAATGAAGCTCTAAATATTTTCTATAACTGAACTTCTGCTTCATATGCTCAGGGCAGCTTTATTATGTACATAGAAAATCGGAGACATTTCTTCACTCTTGCTAAACCTCACTTGTTATTAAAAGTTTTACGCAGTCTCAGGCTTTTCACTGGACTCTGACATGGCTAAAATAATAACTCTGATGATGTCACTTGCGTCAGCTAGCTCGAGGTTGAAAGATACGAGTGTTTTGTGAGCCAGGAGGGTCTTATGAAAGATGCTATCGAGTTGCATTCTGGCGGGTCTAAGATCCAGAGTTGTTGGAGCTTCACCCAGAACATTTCAACATACTCAGCTTTGATTTGACCATGATTTATTCTATAACGCAGTTTCTAGTAAGGCACCTTACTTTTGGAAATACAAACTATTTTCTACTGGGATCAATTTGAATAACCTGATTTTATATGACTAAACAAAGCTGACTCAGTGCAACAAATGAATGTGCTTATTTTTTCTTTCACAATAAGGAGCAGGGTTTAGTTTTATTCTTGTTATCTTGAGTTTTACACCTCAAACACTGTTCAGTTGCTTTATAGGGTTTTTACATGGAAATTATTAAAAAGGGAATTTTGTTATAACTTCACTTCTTTAAAAGCCACTTAGAATAAAAACACACATAGATCAAATTGACCTTTTTTTCTTTGTTTTATGCAAAATTCTGATATTGAAGTCAGAGTTCCAGCTTTGGTATCAGAATTTAAATGAAAACCTAAAATTTGGAGTTGGAATTTCAATTTTTCTCTAATATTAGGATTATTATTTTAGACCTGGGACTCTATGAAAAAGACAGAATTAATAAGAAAAAAGTCAAAATTCTTGCAAACTCAAATTTCAGAGGGACAAAAAAGTCAGAATAACTGAGATAAAGTCAAAAATTTGTCATAGTTTATAGTTCAGAATGTTTTCTGAGTATTCTGGGAGTCAAAATACACTGTCAGACCCTTACGTATACATCTCTTTAATACTTTGCCATATAAATCTGACCTTTGAGAAATAAAACTTCAGTTTTCATGTATGAAATGTCCCCTGTCCATGCTCATTTCATTAGCCTTATTAAGACCAACGCTGCCCCCTGCAGGAGAAAAGTCTTTCACCACTCTACGCATGGTGCCACTTCTCTATACTGTGATTCCAGGGTCTGTGACAAAATCCATAGTGAAGTATAAACTCCTCTGCTCATTACGTCAATGCTTGGACTGGTGGAGCCAGTTCTACACTGTATTAGACCACAAGCCATAATAACAGTGCAGTACACAGCACAGAGAGCGAGCTTTATGTTTTAAGTCTCTCTCTAATCCCAGAGAGGACGCTCAGATTTCCAGCTGTGGTGAAGTGTAGATTTATGCCGTAGTCATAACAAAGCCGGAACATGACTGGAGCTGTGATCATTGGTACTGCAGACAAGTCACTGCCCACACACTGATGGATGGTCCAATCTGTGTAATGTGAAAGTGAATGTATATAACCTTATAAAGCATCAGTTTAAGTCTGACGCAGAAAAGAGATCACCTATGGAGAACTGATGACTCGAAGTCACTGTCCCACAGACAGCAGTGACCACACAAGGGAAGGAAACCATACTCTGTTCTCTGCTAAGAGCCAGCAGGCTGAGTGTGTACTTAAAACCTCGTCAGTGTGTCCATAAGGGTTCGATTTTCAGTGAGTGTTGGAAGATATTTCATCCCAAATTTAGAAGGAAAACACAGCCCAATAGATCAAGTTCGGTTCATGACGCCTAGGAAGAAATCCAGTAATGAAATAACAGTTGTTTGCCTGAGAGGGGTCTGTGAGGTTATTTATAATGGGCCTGAGAAAGCTGAAGACCTTGAACTGCCAGAAAAAGCAAAAAAAAAAAAAAAAGTCCTGCTTTGTTTCCAGGTTTACTGTCAGGGGGGTTATTAAAGGGTGACTGCACAAAAACAAAACAATAATAATAACATGTCAGTGTTTAACTTTGAGGACAGAAAAACTTCAAAACTAAACTTTAAGAGCTCAGGAGGAGGCTTTACTCTCCAGTGGATGTGTAACAAACTGAAAAAGTGTTTGTTAAATTCAAAAAAAGTCAAATTTTGTTCATGCAGGAAAAGGTTGAAATCAAATCTCTCCTTGCAATCGAGAACAGCGTAATTTTCACTCTGGTGAATATTTCTGTGACTTGTAGATGTTTTGATTTTTAAAAACTCACCAACATCACTCTGTTTGCCCTCAGAAGTAAAAATAGATCATTTGAAAATATTTACTCCTCTATTGTTACATTTTTCATACATTTAAGGGCTATGAAAACTGAATAAAAAACTGTCAGAGCAAGACTTACTTCTGCTGTTAGTTATGATGAAGCTCCTATAGATTAAACAGAGTTTATATGTTATTATAGAGATCATTTTTTGTATTGCATGTATAAGAACAATTTAGAATAGAAAAAATCCAACAAATGTCAGTTTAATTTAGAATTTGTATAAATTTCTTATTTATTTAGTGACGCTACAGCACCCCCTGCTGGTATAACTTAGTAGAGGACTAATGTGCATATAAATGGTTTCTCCTCACTCAGATGGAGGAGCCAGTGAGCAGCAGACACACCTGGCAGTCCACCCATCATGATAACCATACTGATAATCACTCAGGTCAACCAGTACAGACAGTTACCTGGTTTATTGGTCAAAGTTATGGCTGAGTATGTGTGTTGTTGTTCACACTTGTTATAAAAGAGGCTAAGAGTGAACATAACTTTTGGAAATGAAGGGAATGTTATTTTGAATGTCAAAGAAAATATTTTGGGTTTAATGTTATAAATCAAACACAAGGAAAACAAACATTATAAGGTTAAACAAAAAGAAACCAGAGCTGGTGTCAATTATTAAAATCACGTGGACACACAGGAGCATAGCGTTTGTTTCCTCTTTTACTCTCCTCTCTAGACACTAGACTTTAAAATTCACCTTGACCCGGGTAAGGTAAGGCTCGGACCCACGACCTCAGGAGCCCAGGTCAGTGTTCTTATCGTCTTAGCCACGTGGACACACAGGTGTTTACCATTTGTTTTCTTTACCATTTGTTTATCATTTTAAAATCTAACTGAGCTCACTTTTCTACTCCTTAAGGCACCCCTGACTAATGAAACCTTAGAGGTAAAAATGTGTTTTTTTCCTAATTGATTGGCATCTTTATTTTTCATTTGAACATGTACAATAAAAAAACAGATTCACTAACTTTCACCAACTTCCCTGGAATTCCAAGATCATCTCAATTTTACTATCACATTGTTTGTCGTCATTACATCTCACAGAAAAATTCATGTTGAGGCCTTTTTATTATAAACAAAGCTGATAAGACCATCAGGGTTATGACTGATACATTTCATAGTGTTGTTTTCATGCCTGAACTGACCCCAGACCACAATAGGTTCTGAATGGTACACTATGTTTTGTGTTGTTTTTACGTTAACCTGTTCTTGATGTAAGTCAGCATATGAATGATTGGACCAAACAGCAGACACTCTGATCCCTCAGCCAATGAGGAGGAGCTGATGTTAAACATTACCCCTGCAGTCATAAAGTCCAGCTGAAGTCAAGGTGGGTAAAGGCTAAACTTTAGGATCATGACCCAGTCTTATTTCAGTCAGAGAATATTCAGATCCACCAGGTTCAGACTGACTGAGTCCCACTTGAGATCAATGTCAGCACTGATATCTTCCTCTCTGCTGAGGTCCTGTGCTCGCAGCCTCAGGTCTGTGGAGGGACTTAAACACAGCAAGACTTGGAATATATGCAGCATAAACTTACTCCAGAGGTGCAGGTAACTTTGTGTTATTCTTTCAGATGAAGAAGGATTTGCTTCAGTCTATTTGACCTACATGCCTTTTCTTCAATCCCATTTCCAGGTCTCTCCATGTGGACTGCCCTCCTCACATTCCCTCTCTAACCACCAGCTATGTCCATGGCACCTCCTCGGTCTCCCTGCTCCCCCTGACCGTAGGTCAGAGCCTGGACTGTGCCGTCCAGCGCTGGCCTGACCGTGAAGCTGTAGTCTTCCTGCAGGATGGTGTTCGTAAAACCTTTGCACAGTTTCAGCAAGATGTGAGTGTTGGATTTTGAGGGCTTTAGAAAATCCTACCCACAAAAACTTTAAAACAAGAGCTGCAAATGGATACTTCATTATGCCAGAAATTACGGTTTTTGGGGGAAACACTTCATTTAATTTTTCTTGTGACATCCTCTGGTGCAGGTGGACAAGGCGGCTGCAGGACTTCTTGCTTTGGGCCTAAAGAAAGGAGACCGATTGGGAGTCTGGGGACCCAACACATATGAATGGATCCTTTTCCAGTTTGCTTCAGCCAAGGCTGGGATAATACTGGTCAGTGCGGGAGCTCTTTATACTTTTAAATTTCCTTTTTGCCTTATTGGTCCTCCATCTGAAATTCCAATCTCTGCTATCCCACTGCATACTCCTTCCAGACACATTGTGGCGTCCCAAAGAGTCACATACTGATGCTTTAATGTCGGCTTTGCAACTAATTCAGATGCACAGAATATCTTTTTGTCAAACATCTTCACTTCAAGTATCATTATCCACATTATAACTTCACAGGTGTCCTTGAACCCAGCCTATCAGGTGAAGGAGGTGGAGTTCACCTTAAAGAAGGTATCCCCGAGGATTAGCCTTGAACATATGAATTATCTCTTTTTTCCACACAGACAATAACAGGACTGATCTGTTTTATGCAGGTGCAATGTAAGGCCGTGCTCTGCCCCACTCGCTTTAAAACACAACATTTCTGTGAGATGCTGAGAGAAATCTGCCCGGAGATCGACACAACACCAGTGGGCATGCTCAAAAGCTCCAGGTTTGACTGAGCCCGAATCTATATTTACATCTCTACAATCTCTCTTCTCTTATTTTCATGGAGGTAAAACAAAGATCTTGTCTTTGGCTCCCAGGTTGCCTGACTTGCGTTTGGTGATTCTGATAGATAGCAGACAGCCAGGGATGCTCCATGTAGAGGACGTGATGCAAGCGGGAGAGACTCAGCACCATAGAGAGCTCATGGATCTGCACAAGAAGCTGTCTTTTGATGATCCAATCAACATCCAGTTCACATCAGTAAGCTGTTCATGACCTCTGCTACTTATAAAGACAGAGAAATGTGATGTTTTGTAGGTCTGATAAACATTCAGATGAAGTGCTGTTTGTTTACATGTTTCAGGGGACTACAGGGAGTCCAAAGGGAGCAGCTCTTTCCCACCATAATATTGTAAATAATGCCTACTTTAGCGGCCTCCGAGTGGGTTATGGATGGAGGGTAGGTCCAGATTTGTGGTTCGATCAAACTTAAATAACCTGAATTTTACCGACCTCTGAGTTAGCCATGGATGGAGAATAGGAACTTATTTGTAATTAGGTCAAATTTGAGTAATCTGAAATTTAACGTCTTGGTTAGCCTCAGGTTCGAGTATGCCTGCCAGTTCCCATGTATCACTGCTTTGGCTCTGTCATGGGGGGGATGTGCATGGCAGTGCATGGTATCACTCTGGTTTTCCCTTCCCCTGGGTTCAACAGTCGAGCCAGTCTGGAGGCCATTCAGAGCGAGAAGTATGTCAATCTGCATTTTAATAACGTAACATTGAAATACTCAGACTTACACGACTGTCACTCCTGTTTTTGTTTCTCTCTCCAGATGCACTTTTGTCTATAGCACTCCTACAATGTTCTCAGACATGCTAGGACAACAAGTCCAACATAAGTATGATGTTTCATCAGTCGAAGCTGGTAAGAGATTGAAGACTCACGGCCACATTAGTATGAGACTGAGACCTCCTCATGTACAGTATGTGTTCCTGTGTTTTAGGTGTCATGGGTGGTTCTCCATGCCCAGCTGAGGTTGTGAAAAAACTGATAACAGGCATGAACATGAAAGAGATAGTGGTGAGTGCTTACTTGCCCTGTATCTAAGAAATATTGCTGTGTATTTGTCTAGCATATTAACATTTGTGCGTTTGATGTTGTGATAGCTAGCTTACGGAACCACGGAGAACAGTCCGCTTACATTTATGGGTTTCCCACAAGATAACGAAGAGCTGAAGACAGAAACTGTTGGCTGTATCATAAATCACACTGAGGTATGTGAAACCATAGACTGTATATAGAATGGACAGAGTCTGCCTCCTCGTTGAGTGAAGCCACTGCGACGCGCAGTCGCCGAGCGTCATCACAGCGACTCTCGGCGACTGCACGGCCGAATGCGCGCGTCGCTACTGCGCAACGCAGACTTCAGGAAATGCAGAAAAATCCCGGAAATACCGAGAGCTTTTTGGCTCCAAATCCGTATACAGGCGGTAGGCGGAACCAAGTTGTCCATAGTATATACAGTCTATGTGTGAAACTCATAGCATAAATTATTAAATACATATGATCATGGAGAGACTTTAACTAAAGCGGGTATGTCTAGGCGAAAGTGGTGGATCCTAATACCGGAGAGATCGTCCCTTTGGGGGCCTCAGGAGAGCTGCTGGTCAGAGGTGCCTGTGTGATGTTAGGATACTGGGACGATCCCGAGAAAACCGATGAGGTTATCTGCAAAGCTAACTGGTACAGGACAGGGTAAGAAACTGCACCTACAACTCATTCTACTTTAGACTTTCTGAATATTGCAAACGTTGTTGAATTAACCAGGAATCACTGGATGTCAGTGAGTAACCGAATAATCTCAGACTGGAGGTTTGAACACGCAAACTTGTATATTTCTAATGTAGGATATGGGTTCCACTGCTAACAAGGAGATCAAAGCTGTTTTAAAATGCATTTTAAACATGTAATTAAAAAAACATTTTCTCCACTTATCAAATCACGACATTGCTTGTATTAATGTTACTTGTATGTGTGATTACTTACCCACAGTGACACAGCCAGTCTGAACAGTCTGGGGTACTGTCGCATTGAAGGTCGCATGAAGGATCTGATCATCCGAGGAGGAGAAAACATCTACCCAGCTGAGATAGAGCAGTTTCTTTTTACACATCCGAAAGTGCAGGAAGTGCAGGTGAGATTTACAACCACTAGAGGGCAGTAAAATCTGAACTTTATTTTTCTTTTAATTCCAGACATATTTTTAAGTTGTCAAGAAAACCTTCAGGTGTTTAGTTATTAGTTTTTTTGTCAAGGTGGTAGGAGTGAAAGATGAGAGGCTCGGTGAGCAGGTGTGTGCCTGCATCAGGCTGAAGGAGGGCCAGAGCTGCAGTGCAGAGGAGATCAGAGCGTTCTGCAAAGGCCAGGTAAGGAGTGATAAAAATACCCATAATGTGAAACACTTAAAGCACAGTTTGACAGTTTTTGTTCTGATGATTGTTTCTACCTTTTAGATCGCTCACTTCAAGATACCATATTATGTTGTCTTTGTGGACAGCTACCCTCTGACTGCCTCTGGAAAGGTAAATTACCTCAGCTCTTACAATTACATAAATAAATTGACTGTGTTTGCTCAAACTTATGAGAACTATGTAATGTTTTAATTGTATAAGATAAATAATAACAGCTTTTCTTTTGATTTGAAACTTCTGTTTTTTTCTGACTTTCTAGATCAAGAAGATCATCTTAAAAGAAGAAATGGAGAAGAAATTAGGCCTTTGATTTTCATGGATCCTGATGGACTTTTTTAAAGCATACTTTAAGGGAAATCAGATTTAAGCGGCTGGAATTCATGCTTCATTTTTGCACAAAACAAACGTTACAAAAAACACTGAAGCAGCTGATGGACTGTCTGAATATTTGGATTAAAGTTCCAAGAGGAGGTAATGAAGGCTGCAGACGCTCAAGTGGATATTTCTGAAAATGTTATGTAAGTGGACCTCGAGCTGTATCATAAAGCTGTTAGATTTGACTGAAAAAATATTAAATTAATCAGAAAAACTATTCAATTATTTCCCAAATGATGCTTTTTTGATATCACTACATTTAAACTTGAATATGTAGAGAAATAGGAACGCTAAAGGACCGGTCTGTATGTTTGTTACGGCCTCCCAGAAAAGAAAAACCAAGAGTTTAATCATCACTGTGGGTTTCTCAGCACACTTAGAGAGGTAAAGGTAAAAGAGGCTGCAAGCTCTGTGCAATCTGCAAACTCACCACTAGATATCACTCAATCCTGCACACTTCTACTGAGTCGGTATGTCGATCTCTGTAGAAGAAGATAAACACTGACTATCTATGTTTAAACAGGTTCTGAATAACTCTTGTGAAGTAACATCATAAATTACAAATGTGAGTTATGTAAAGAAATATTTGCACATGTTTAAACAGTTGACAACACCTCATTTGCAGATAAGACAGGATCTTGTGGAAGAACCAAGACAAATAAAAGCTCGATTAAAAAAAAAAAAAACAAGAGTGTTTTCTAAAAGGATTTCAAAATAATACTCTGCCTTATTTTATTTTGAAAAATAACACTGGCAAAGCAACTTTTTAATAAAAAAAACTAAATCATTATATTTGCTTATATCTGCTTTTATTATGCAACAACAACTAGACAATAGTTCAAGCTGACAGGGTTAAACATAATGTGGTGACTGCACATCTTACTCCTGCTGGTGCATGTTTGTTAGCTGCACTTTGTTGCAGAAATTACAAATCTGTGCAGAAAAACTAAGGAATAAGAAGAAGAAGCAAAGTTGTTATAACCTAAATTAAACCACCTATTAGTTAATTATTGATGGCTATTTAAAGTTAATATTCTCTTGTCATCTGCCTGAGTGTGTTTAAAAAGGCCAAATGGCCTGACCTCTCAGCCAATAAGAAAGAGCCGTGGTTAAATATTAACCTCAGGGTGATAAAAGCTGACTGAAGTGAAGATAGGTAGAGGCAGGTAGGAAGCAGTTCTCTTGTTGGACTCACTTTCACCTCAGAGGGCGTATACTAACCATTTGTACATGCAAGTGGTGTAGGTTGACTCTGACACTCAAACAAAATGACAGTCTTGAAATCCTCCTCACTGCTGAGGTCCTGTGCTCACAGCTTGAGGTCTGTGGAGGCTCTCAAACACAGCCGGACTTCGAAAATATGCAACACGAGTTTACTCCAGTGGTGCAGGTAAGTTCTGGTTCTTCTTGTTTTTGGGTTTAATTGAAAAAATGTTGTTCCTTTTACGCTGAAACTTGTGTTTCCTGCAATCACTGCTGCAGGCTCAGTGTAAAAAAACACCTCTGTTTCAGCTGGTGACAGCGCTCTCTAACAGATATGTGGACATGAATGTGGTCAATGATTAAGAAAGAAGGTTATCTGGCCATGGTGGGACGGTCCATCATTACAAGCATTTTTCTCTCTGTACCTTTCACCCACTCCTGGTCTCAACATTCTAATATCTGCAGTCAATGCACCTCAAACTTTAGTCTAAAAGAAAAGGGAAGGGCTGTGTTAGGAGTCACTTTTAAGATTTATGGTTGGTCACAGTGCTAGTGCTCTGGCTGGGACCCTATATGTACTGTTGATGAATTTGTGGCTATAGAGTGGCGTTTTGGATGAGTGCGTGACTCCCTGTATTGCTATCTGGGGTCGTTGCTAAAGTTGGTATAACTAAAGAAGCAACAGTCGGCAACATTCATCTCTTAAAACATTAATTGATCTGCAGCCAAGTGACTGAATGAATCATCACAACATTAGAACTGCTGATTTGATCATGTCAGTACATCACAAATGGAGACCAAAGTTGAAAGCACCTTAATCAAATCAAAGAGACATCCATATCCATGTGAACTTAAATTATAATTTATAATTTACTTCTCAGTCCAAGTAACTTCATGTTAGCACCAAAGGGTTTCAAGACGATGATTGTATTTTTTCGTAGAGGCAGGTTAAATCCAGTTCATGCCAAATACACATGCTCTGATTCTCAGGCTGTGGACTGACACCTGAGGTTGTCTCAGGTTGTCAACTGACTCCTTTCTTTTTCTCATTTCCAGGTCTCTCCATGTGGACTGCCCTCCTCACATTCCCTCTCTAACCACCAGCTATGTCCACGGCACCTCCTCGGTCTCTCTGCTCCCCCTGACTGTAGGGGGGAGCCTGGACTGTGCTGTCGAACGCTGGCCTGACCGTGAAGCTGTAGTCTTCCTGCAGGATGGTGTTCGTAAAACCTTTGCACAGTTTCAGCAAGATGTACGTCGAAGTTATTCAATCGCTAAAACTGTCAGACCACTGATAACTCAAGGTGTAATTTGCGGGAGTTAAGAGTGACATTTATTGTTGCAGGTTGACAAAATGGCAGCAGGTCTACTTGCACTGGGCATGAATAAAGGAGACCGACTGGGAGTTTGGGGACCCAACACATATGAATGGATCCTTTTCCAGTTTGCCTCAGCAAAGGCTGGGATTATACTGGTCAGTGCGGAGGTTTTACCTTTGTTTATGGTGTTAATAGGCCGTTAAAGTGATATTTCTTCAGCTGGGTGAACAGATGACATAAGCCCCTGACCTTGGTTACCAAATACCGTGGTGTCAAAAGGTCGGTCCACAGCTTATTGGACTCTTTCAGGGGCCCTGAGAGATATCCTGGAACTGTAAAAAGTGTAATCTGTTATATTACAGCCAAATTACAACCTGTATTTTTTATGTTATAAACTGCTGAATTGTGTCTTGATAAAGTAAACAAAAAGCTGCTGTTCTTGTTCTATTTGCAGGTGTCCTTGAACCCAGCGTATCAAGTGAAGGAAGTGGAGTTCACTCTAAGGAAGGTAACGTGAACTCTTGCAAGGCATACTTACACAACCACGTGCATACACCTGACAAAGGACAATTATAAAATAGAGTAATCTGACAGAACTCTTTTTTCTATTCCAGGTCCAGTGTAAAGCTGTTGTCTGTCCTTCTCACTTCAAAACACAAAATTTTGGTGAGATGTTGAGGGAGATCTGCCCGGAGATAGACAAGATGCCTGCAGGCATGCTCAAAAGCTCCAGGTTAGACAGAATCCATCTGAATGATCCAGTGTAATACTTAGTCTTTGTGATATATTGATACTTGAGGAGTGAGTAAGGATCCCTCAGAGGGTTAAGGTATATGTTATCCAGCCCTTTCACTATTCCTTCACAAATGCCTGTGCTCATTATTAATTACATTGACCTGTCAGGACTCCTGGACGATTCGAAGGACTCTTTTGTAACACAAAGATCTTGTATCTGGCTCCCAGGTTGCCAGATTTGCGTTTGGTGATTCTGATAGATAGCAGACAGCCAGGGATGCTCCATGTAGAGGACGTAATGCAAGCAGGAGAGAGTCAGCACCATAGAGAGCTCATGGATCTGCAGAAGAAGCTGTCTTTTGATGATCCAATCAACATCCAGTTCACATCAGTAAGATTACATGTTTCTTTCTTGAACTGATTGCATCAAGTCATGTGGGTCTATTAGAGATCAATTAATGATGCTGTTTTCTTTGCATTAGGGAACAACAGGGAGTCCAAAGGGAGCAGCTCTTTCCCACCATAATATTGTAAATAATGCCTACTTTATCGGCCACCGAGTGGGTTATGGATGGAGGGTAGGTCCAGATTTGTCTCTTTGTTTAATGACAGAAAAGCGAAACTTTAAGTGACCTGAATTTCATCCTTCTGATTAGCCTCAGGTTCGAGTATGCGTTCCAGTTCCCATGTATCACTGCTTTGGCTCTGTACTGGGAGGGATGTGTATGGCAGTGCATGGTGTCACTCTGGTCTTCCCCTCCACTGGGTACAACAGTGAAGCTAATCTAAAGGCCATACAGAGTGAAAAGTAAGGCTCACTGTATATTATTAAAATGTTCTCCAGATATACAGAGAGCCACGCGCTCAACCAAAACGCCACTCTATAACCACGAATAATGCTCAGAACAGCACCTAACTTCATCAACTGTACATATAGGGTCCAAGCCATACTACATGCCACCAAACATCTTTTTAGCTTTGCCTAATTTATTAGCAAAGAGACTAAACACAACTCACCTACTCTCTTCCAGCAGCCGCTTGTTTGTACGGAGACCTCCAGGTGAGTCCATCGACTGCAGCAGGGTGACGCAGCTCAAGGAGGAACATTTATGATCATCACTTTATCATTTCCTTGAAGTAATAATCAGCGTCTCTGTCTGATTGCATTTCCACGAGGAAATGATCAGAAATGTTCTTCCTTGAGCTGCTTCACCCCGCTGTAGTTGATGGACTCACCCAGAGGTCTCTGTACAAACAAGCGGCTGCTGGAAGAGAGTTAATGTGTTTGACCCTAACTTAATTTTACGCCGGAATCTCCCTTTAAAACAACTGCTAATTTTAATTCTTTAATCTTCAACCAAGGTGCAGTTTCATCTACGGCACTCCTACAATGTTCACCGACATGCTAAGTCAACAAGTTGTACACAAGTGTGACATGTCTTCAGTTGAGGCAGGTAAGACATTGAAAGACTGTCATGAAGAGAATATTTTGAGTGTGATTTGAAGTTTGCATTTAACTAACTCGTTCCTTTATTTCAGGTATCATGGCCGGTTCTCCGTGCCCCTCTGAGATCGTGAGAAAACTTAGATCGGACATGAACATGAAAGAGATAACGGTAGGCTGTCCTTTCCAAACTGTGTTACATCATTAAGATTCCCCCAGCACCTTGAACATATGGATTTTTGTGTTTTTACAGATAGGTTATGGAACCACTGAGAATAGCCCACTTACATTCCTCGGATTCCCACAAGACAATGAAGAGCTAAGGACGGACACTGTTGGATGCATCATGAGCCACACAGAGGTACTGCTTGCATACTTCTATCCACCATAACAACACTCCAACTCATCCGTTATTTTTTATCCTACACAGGCTAAAGTGGTGGATCCTAGTTCTGGGGAGATCGTCCCTTTGGGGGCCTCAGGAGAGCTGCTGATCAGAGGTGCATGTGTGATGTTAGGATACTGGGAGGATCCCGAGAAAACCGATGAAGCAATCTGCAAAGCTCGCTGGTACAGGACAGGGTAAGAGACTGGATAATAAACAGGCTGAATTCAAAGTTGTGGCTCTTGATTGGTGGCCACTGCAACCAAAAGAGCATTTCCACTTTAAACAGACCCAAGCTCCACTTCTCCACTGTGCAATTATGGGCAGCAAAAGCCACAAATACACAGTGTTATCCTGAGGCACCTCTTTTTACCAGCGTTTACACAGTGTATATAAAAGATAACACGAAGTAACGGTGGCCTATAAGGACAAAAAGCCCCTGTGATGCATGATAAGTATGTGTGATTACTTCCACGCAGTGACACAGCCAGTCTGAACGGTCTGGGGTACTGTCGCATTGAAGGCCGTATGAAGGATCTGATCATCCGAGGAGGAGAAAACATCTACCCAGCTGAGATAGAGCAGTTTCTTTTTACACATCCCAAAGTGCAGGAGGTGCAGGTGAGATTTACGACCACTAGAGGGCAGTAAAATCTGAACTTTATACAAACTCTTAGCAGCAAAGCAATACTCTTTTATGTGGTACAATAGTGTGCCATCTTTTTATCAAGAGGAGGCTGAAGTGTATTTTGTTGTTTCTGATTTTAAGGTGGTAGGAGTGAAAGATGAGAGGCTCGGTGAGCAGGTGTGTGCCTGCATCAGGCTGAAGGAGGGCCAGAGCTGCAGTGCAGAGGAGATCAGAGCGTTCTGCAAAGGCCAGGTCAGAGATCAACAAAACTATCAAAAACCCATTTCTCTAAACCAAACCTGGACTTTTTAAAAATCCTGTTTTTGTCCTCTAGATCGCTCACTTCAAGATTCCATACTATGTGTTCTTTGTGGACAGTTACCCTCTGACAGCCTCTGGAAAGGTGCAGTGCTGCTGCCTTACCTGAACTATCATAACCGCTTTGAATCTGGTGTGTACGATGAAATAAAATTGGCTTTTGCTTTGCGTTTTTTCCAGATCAAGAAGAACGTTTTGAAGGAGGAAATGGAGAAGAAACTTGGCCTTTGAGCGGATCCTGATAGAAAATGAGAAACCAGACAGAAGGAATGAGGAATGAAGGAAGAGTTTATATCACCACTGAGCTTTAAAACTCATTACTGTCAATGTACAAATTAAAATCTTTGTATGATGTCTGTTTACTTGAAATTACAATTTTAACATTGCACAATAAACCGTACCTCTATCTCCTACTGAAGGTCAAAAGGGTGATTAAAAACTTTGGAAAAATATCACTCACTTGATCTTTATTTTTTTATATTATAAAATAAATCCTAAGTATATAAACCACACCACAAAATCTTCATTTCAACTTTTATTTACTTAAACAGTTCTGACAAACATTTTGATATCTTTATGAGATGGTTTTAACCATTTATAATTTTGACATGCCATTACAGAATCTGAAATAAATAGGACCTTAATGCCAAAGTCTTGTATGTACAAATTACCGTCCTTACAAGCTATACACACTTGCTGTAGAACAAGCTTTAGTAACAGGTTCACAGAGTGCCCAGATGACATCTCAAATATTATCAAAGAAAAGTGAACACTAAAGGCTTCAAGATGTCGAGACAAAAACCTATGAGAGGGCTATTTTAGAGGCCAAAATGAACTTATGTGATTCAAAATAAAAGCATTCCTACTGGCCAATCTTTAAACCATCTAGAGTCAAGTTAAAGAGATGTTTAGCCAATGTGTTGCCTGACACAAAGGCCTCAGAGGATCATGTACTCCAGATCCTAGTGTCAGTTACATTTTGTTTGAGTATCCTTTATAAATAAACCAAAGCTTAGCCTGCTAGCATTACAAATCCACCACGAGTCTTTGCCATAACATCAGAATGAGGTAAATGAGCCAGTCACAAGGTAAAAAAAAATAAAATAAAAATACATTAAACATAAAAAAAAAAAAAGGCAAAACTGTTCCCTCAGAATATCAACAGATGTCCACAGACGGAAAATACTCGCCTGCAACTAAACCAGTGAGGATCAGTTTGTTTAAGTGCAGGTTTAACCCAGAGGACAGAACCAGCTGATATAACTGAACTTTAACAAAACGGATAAAAAAAAAAAAAGTAATAAGAAAGCAGTAGCCAGTAACAAGAAGAACCGCACCATGGCTACATGGCTTTGAACGATCAACATTCACTTCAGTCATAAACACAGGGTCCCACTTCACCTCCATAAACCCTGTGTTACATATGCACACATGCAAGGAAATAGCAAATAAAAACATTGCATTTAAAGCATACTGTGATAGATAGATAGATAAATTAGTAAATAATAACACATCCCTTTTTAAATATAATACATTCTGAATTCAAATAAGCTTAGCTGTGCAATTTAAGAGAAAACAAAAGGAGGAAAAAGAAGAGGAAGCTATGGTCTGTTAGAGACCTTTTGTCAGGTGCCAGGATAGTAGTTTGAAGAGGAACAGTAGAACTTAGAGTATAAAGGTGTCAATTTTCAGAGTTGACATCCAGAGAGTAATGCATTTGCAGTGACATTCATACAAGCACAGTACAGCTTTAGGCACATGCAAGTATGTGGTAGGAACATCTGCACACACAACTGTGCACCTACTCACAGATGCATTTAGAGCTGCAACCTGGGGGCAAGGTCACGGTAAAGTCGAGCCTCTGTTTCACGCGACACGTTCGGAAATGCACAATCCCAAACAAACACACACACACACATCACTCTTTCTGTCAAACACTCTTTCTCTCACACACACACACACACATATACATGCTCAGCACACAATGTAATGGTCTTTCAAGTGTCCTCTCTGTTCCCACGTTGTATTTGGTGGAGGTTAATGTGGCGTGGGGAGGCCTCACACACTCAGAGGCAGCATGCCTGGTGGGGGCACAGCCCTGGATGCTGCCATGGAGGTCAACGAGCTGGGGTCCAATCCATTAACAGTCCTGCCAGAGGGTTTACAACATTAACATACATGTTAATGGGGTTCATTTGAATAAAACCAGGCAGGAGGAGCTGCTACAAACACTCACGTTTTATCAAAGTAAGTCGTGTGTAGAGAGTGAGAGAACTTGGTGGCGTTGCTGTTGATAAGTGTGCCGTTGTCTTTGGCGAACGTTTTCCTCGCGGCCTGGTCTTTGGCAAAGTTCCTGCAGGCGGCAAGTTTGGACTCCAGAGCCTAATCACAAAGTCAAGAAAGATGAGCTGTTATTATTATCATCACAAACATCCCTCTGTGTATCCAGTAGTCAGGGACACGCAGATCTTTCGCTGCTCTGACCTAGTTTATCATCATCTACCTACCCCGACTTTCCTCAGGAGGTCACCAACGATATTAAGTGCTGAGATTCTAGCAGACGGTGTGAGGGACGAGTTGCCAACACCATTGGTCAATGCTGCAAAAGCACAGAAGAAATTAGTTTCTACAGAAGAGGAGGTTTGATATTTGCAATCGAACTGCGATCTAAGTTAACACTGACCTTTTGAGGTGATAAAAGGGTGCTCCATGTTCTTTCCTACAGGTGTGGCTGGGAGAGATAAAGACGCCTGTACGGCAGAATCCATCTTGTCAATATCCAAGGTGGGTGAGCTGGGTGCAGACATCCTGTCTGTAGTCCGCTCTCGCACGGCCAGCTCCTGCCTCAGGTCTGCAGAAAACAAAGATTCAGACTCGTGAAATTCTCTCTCATTGAATATATGCGATAAAGTGGTGCTATGGCATCATCTGTGCTTTGTCTTTACCTCTTGCTTCATCCTTCAGCCGCTGCACAGACACCAGGAGCGACTCCTTCTCATCCAGTTCACTCTCCAGGAAGGCGTTTCTCTCAATGGCCTGGTTTAAACGGCCCTCAAAGTCCTCGAGAGACACTATCGTTGCCCTGCACACGCATGTTCAAGACATGAGGTAAATAAGACTGTCTAATCTGCCTGTTTAACATCACTTCTCTATATTTTAGGAGTGAATACAGAGGCATATATTCTCTTTGAGTCTGACCTCTTGGCTCTCTCAAGGTCATCGTTGGCCTGCTCGAGCTCTCTGACATATTTGTGTAGCTGTTCCTTAATGCTGCGTGTCTGACCCAGGTCATCCTCCAGCATAGAAATCTGCTTATAACTCTGGGAATACTGCTGCTCCAGCTTCTCCTGAAAGAGGTAGAGAGAGAGAGAGTGAGTGTGTGTAGATAAACAAGGACATCAAACTGACCTATTGTTCCACCCTAAACATCCTTGCTGAGGCCTGCACTTTTAAAGTTCCGTTTTATATACTTTATAATAGTCTTTTACAACAAAAGTAGTCTTTAGATGTTTATTGCCTGATGAATCACAAGAAATAAAGATGTTCTTCCGCATTATTTCACTTTCAAATAGTCTCTTTGTTCCCCTGGGGGAGGCCCAGCGGCTTGTTTGCTCTTTGGTACTTCACAGAGCCATATGTGGCGGTGCTGCGTGCCTGTGTGGTGGCCCCAGAGGCACAATGAGAGGAAAGCATGATTCATGATCTCTCTGGGTGACTACCACGGTTCATTTTAGTGAACTAAAATGTTAGACCATGTGTAAAATCATAATCCCTATCTGCTGTGGCAGCCGCAGTAGTTCTCCTGCTTGTAAACACAGTTATTTTGATCACAGGAGTACCATTCATGCCTGCAGAGACCAAGAACAAGACTTATCTATTTTTTTACTTCTAATCCTGACATCCAATTTAGAAGTGCTGTGGGATTACCTAAGAGCGTACTTTAATAACACCAGACTTACAAATAAGACAGTGGACCTTGTCCTCGGGATCCAACAGGGATCAGATAACCTCTGAAGTAGCTGCACATTGCTTTATCGTCATCCTTAGAGACAAACCTTTTCTAATAGCATGCTACAAAGGAAGTCACCAGGATTTAGTTACCTTGAGGTTTGCCACCTCGTTCTTCACTCGCTCATTTTCACTTTGGAGGTCTCGAAGGCGGTGTTCAGCCTGTCCGAGCTGCGCCTCTAACTCCGCCTCCAGCTCCCGGCTTCCCTCCTGGAACTCCTGCAGCTCCTCTTGGGCGTCCTGGCAACTGCGTGGCACACAGATAGACACGTTTACAATCGCTGTCATTTTGTGGGCACCCTGTTCACTGTGCGCCATTCATTCTGTAAAGCTGCCTGACCGAATGACCCCCACGCTGGCATGAGTTCTAGAAAACTGACTGCCTTTTGTCCTGTAAGATGAGCCGGGCTCAGGTATGTTCCAGCAGCTTTATCTCCAGTGGCCAGAAATAAACCCGCATTAAAAAAGACAGTCACATATTTGTACATTTTTAACCTTCATCTCTGCCTCTGCTGCACAGGAAAGTGCACGCCTCAGCAGTGTCGACTTAGGACTCTAAATATATAGCTCTGAAGAGACAGCTGTACGGTGACAGTAGGTGGTTTAGAAGAAGCCCAGAAAAACAGGCCTGCTTCCTCAGCTGTGGAAGGGGTGAAAGGTCAGAGGTGCGAGGAAAATGAGAGGGTGCAGAAACAGGATGAGAACATGGGTTAGGAAACAGGATGTGTACGCTGGTATGCTTCAGGTCAAGGCAAACCCCATGTAGATATCCAAAAACACACACAACAACTGATAATGTAAACATTCCTATGAGGGGTAGGAGGAAGAACCTAAAGATAATCTGTTGTTTGCATTGAAGTGCATTTTTTCCTCATCTGACTTCGTTTTTGCACACACACGTCACTTGGGCTAACACTGTTCTGAGATCAGCTGACTCGTGCCGGTATAATGGCCTCACAGTGGCTCTGGAGTCCATGAATCAGTTGTTGTCCCGGGGTCGTTCCACACATACCAACACGGCAGCGGCTGCTTCATCAGCATGCCGCTGCGTCCTGTAACTTTTCTCTCTGACAGTCCTGCTCGCTCTCTCTCTCACCTTTGTCTCCGACTGAAGCTGTTGTAACAAGTGAATTACCCCCAATAAGGGATCAATAAAGTGTTTCTTATCTTATCTTATTTTTCCTGGTTTAAATGACTTTAATCTGTCGGCATGATGTTGAATTAAAATGAACATCATCCAGCGCAGGAAAGTTAAAGGAATATTCTGGCGTAAAATTTGTTTAGGGTCAAACACACTGTAACACCGAGTTAGACACCCCCTCGAGAGATGAATGTTGCGACCGCTTGCTTCTCTAGTTATACCAATTTCAGTAACGACCGCACGATAGCAATACACAGCAGTCCCAGGAGCCACGCACTCAACCCAAAAGCCACTCCATAGCCACAAATAATGCTCAGAACAGAACTTAATCATCAATGTTCTTCCTTAAGCTGTGTCACCCCGCTGTGCTAATGGACTCGCCTAAGGTCTCCGTACAAACAAGCGGCTGCTGGAAGAGAGACGACGAGTTGCAGTCTTCTCGCTTCCACCAGGACGCGTCTTTTTTTCCCCCCGGAAAGTCGGCTTGATGCGTATAGTCAGGCGCGTCAAAATTCGCCTCCGAATATTTCGTAATTTCGCGTCAGATATTTGCGTCGGTCCCAGTGTGTAGGGACCTTAAGAGTGGCTTTTTGGTTGAGCGCGTGGCTCCTGGGACCGCTGTGCACTGCTATCGTGCAGTAAAGTTGGTATAATTATAAAAGCAAGTGGTCGGCAACATTCCTCTCTTGAGGGGTTTTTAACTCGGTGTTACAGTGTGTTTGACCCTAACTTAATTTTACAGCGGAATATCCCTTTAACACTCAATGTGGTAACCTAGGAAGCACATGTTATTTACTGATGATGGCCAACTGCAAGACAGCAAAGTTCAACATATTATGTCATGGAGATATCTTTTCAATAGGTGACTTATTAACACAGTGCATGCTGCCTCTGCCTCCTCCAAAATCCTGCGTGAGACTACTTAGAAAACTTGGTGTTGTTTTTTCCATGAGTGGAAGTTTCCCCCTCAGTACCCACAGTAGGAATTTCTCAGAAAACCACCAGGACTTTTAACCCACTGTGTGCAGCGTTTAACAGGTAATTTGAGAGGATAATGTTCCTCTAACTCCAAAAATATAAGTAAAGACCGAGTTCAAACAGCAAACACATGCGAAACTGCTGCCTATTACAACATACAGTAGGTTGTGGTCTCTGTGAAAGAAGTCTGAGATTTAGTCATTTCCTCCAGAGTGAGCCGCAACTCTCTGTGGGCACTGGTTTGAAAAAACTTGTCTGGTCATTCTCCTTAAATGGTTAAACACATGCTGTCTTTGCTGAACCTTCCAAAAGTTTGAATGGAAATTATTGAGTGTTTACACTAAAGGCAGAGCCCTACATTCAGCAAATTAAACTCTGCCTCTTATTACATAAGAGCGAGAGAGAGAGAGAGGACAGCTTATCAGACAAAGTCGGTGTGCCGCTGTTTGAAGTTCGGAGTGTTGTCTGAAAAGTTGTTCTATCAAATGGAGGATTGCTGCCATCTTATATTTGGATCAACATCTTTTACAAGGCGGATCAAAGAATAAAATATGACACATTCTTACATAACCTAATTTGCAAGTAGGCAAACAGTAAAACACTCAATGGAGAAAAAGATGAGAACACAGCAGGAAAACTATCCTACAGTCACTGCTGGGCTGTCCAGGGATTTGTCAGGAGGCTCTTTTGGGCTTTTTGTTTTCTTTGACTGGCCAATAAAACTGGTAGTTAGCCCATTACTCATGACTAATTCTGACGGTGATTGTTTCTGTTGATTGCTGTTGTGGTCTGATTGACCCAGTAATCATGATTAATACTGGGTTTGCCTAATCACATCTTAGAGCAGTGGGCTGAGGGACACCCCCTCTACCCTCCCTCCCAATCAATCAATCAGTCACTCCAAGGACAGGCTGAACAAAAAAGAACAAATGTAAGGGAGGTGAGGAGAAATACAGAAAAAGACCAGGACAAGCGCTCCAGGTAGATGCTGCAGCAACTGACACATGAGTTCACACATATTAGATCCATCACACTGCTTACCTTTTCTTGTATTTGAGGGCCTGGGACTTCCAGTAGTCGACTTCCTCGTCCTTTGATGCAAATTTTGGAATCATCTCTTTGTCCATGTCAGAGCAACCTGGAGGTTAAGGAGACATGCTTGTGAGCTGAGAGGCAAAAAGTAGTCCCTATTTGCAGCAAAGGTACTCTCGATGACAAATGAAGAAAGTCTGATAATGGTATTGACGAGAAATGTTGCATTATGGGAATTGTTTCCTTAATTAAACGACCAACTGAAATAAATCTATCCCCGACCAAGAATACTTATCTTACAGAAAGTCATGTTTTAAGAGTAAAGGTATCGGATATCAGCCGATACGCTCAGCCCAGGTATCAGTTTCGGATTGGATCGGAACTAAATGGATCAGTGCATCTCTATTTAAGAGTTTTACTTTCTTCATGTAATATAATAAATTTAACACAACTGCAAGACACAAAACAGACTTGAACTGTTTTATCAGGTCTGCTGTCACTCAAGGATATCAACAAGTGTTTTTGTATGTATTCCCAGAATCAGATAGCCTAATAAAATGCATTTTGACTTCGATTAAAATAATGGATTTCTCTGGGTTTGACTGATTTTAGGAATATTTTTTTATAATGTAGTAGAAAAACAAACAAGTGTAGATGTTTTACAAGGTTTGAATGCTTTTCAAATGTAAACAAATTTTCATACAGGTGAAAAAAAAAAGTTAGCGCTCGTGACTTAGAAAGTAGGACAAACGTTCAAAGCTGCACATGACTTGGTCCAAAGTATTTGCATCCTCAGGCATGTAGCATCAGGCTCAGTGCATTCTCCTCTTATCTCAGAGCTAACGACAAGGGATATCAAGATTCAACATTCCCCTCGTTCCTGACCGGAGGAGATAAAACAACAGATCTCTCTGTTTTGGAGAGTCCAAACAAAACAAGATCAGACTGGCCATGCCATTTTGACAGTCTGAGGTCGTGTTATACTCGGTTAAACATTGACTGACCACAGCGCCCAACACCCATCTTTTACCGAGTCGCTGAGATGACATCCAAATGTTAAGTGTCCAGAGCTTCCTGCTCATCAAATTCACGTAATACCAACATAACTCATTCATTAACAGCCATGTGTGGAAAAAAAATGTCGCCAATGCCCCTATGGATCACAGCTGTCTGCTGTCACCTGGCTCTTGATTTTCTAACCCGTGTTTGAGCACTTTTTCCATCTTCCTTCCTTTTTGCAGACTTGACACTTCACAAGACGCTTGTTCCTCTTTTCTGGTGAGCTCATAAACTCTGTGATCTTTGTGAACCAGCATGACACGTTTTAGGAAGTGATTAAACACATCTGGAAAGAGCCCATGTGCATATTTGATGTGGGTAAGGGGTTGCAGCAGCTGCCCCCGACACTCCTTTTGAGGAGTTTTCATAATCCAAAAAGAGACTGTAAGGGTTCCGTGTAGGGAGGTCAGACAACCAGTAAATGAAGCACATCAGCTGCAGTGAGGGGTACAAGGAGTTTTAGCCAGTTATCTAGATATAGACCTGAGCTCTGGCAGCTGCTCCTGTATCCATTATTGTTACAGTTCAGCCAGACATGCCAGCTTGAGCTTAGACAAGAAGGAGGATGTGTTACTTTTCTTCCCACAGAAGAAGAGGACAGTCTGGACTCAAAAAACTGGACCGCCTGCTCTTCCCCTCAAACATTCCTTTGAGGCAGCGTCATCAACAATTTACTCGCCACAGGCCCCTCACGTGTCAGTGCGCTACCCTGGAAATCACGAAGGAAACCAGAGACCCAAATACAGCAAGGGTGGAGGGAGGAAAGGCTCCCGAGCTGCTGGTGACATAACATGTTTGTTTTATAGAACAAGGAGGGAGAGCCTTTGGAGTCCCTCCAGGGAATGAAATCAATCCTCTGATAATTTTCAGGGAAATCAAAATTATTATACAGAATATCTTTCTGGGATTATGTGATTTCTATTGATCTCAGTGATTTGACAAAGGCATAGGTGACAGGTAACTGTTCCCATGGTGATTCAGAGAATAATAACCTCCTTAAGAAGGGCTGTATCTATTTTTAGCCCACTATCTGTGAATCAAAATGTGTAAAAAACAAAAACAAAACTGACTTCCACACGTATTCCCATATGTCACGTAACAGGTCATGACTGTTGCTGTTATCTCTCATTTTAAAAGCATCCTTTCCAGTGGCGTCAGTTTGAACCCTGGAGAAACAATGCCCCGGCTGACAGGCACACGTCCAGAAAAAGTGGTCAGACTGTCTGTTTCTGAACATCAGATAGTGAAGCGAGTTTCCTTTCTCACATTCCTCTATCTACATCCTCTTTTTATAAAACAGATGACTAAATGCTTACTAAGAGGTGAAGTCACACTTCTAGACCAGGGCCTCTGAAAGGAGTGAGGAAGGGGTGTACAAATTCATACTTAGTGTAAATTTCTTTCTCTAATAGGAATAAAATAAGACCTTTGATATAGGGCTTCTCTGAACTGGTCCTGCTGATTCAGTACAGAGGAAATCCACATGGCAGATATCAAAATGGTCATTAAAAAGCAACAAAAGGCCCCTTTCAGTGTAATAAATGTGCGTTTCTTCCAGCCATATCCACTACAGACATTATTAACAGATTCTCCATGTATAAACTGGCACGCATGAGGCCATGTTTATGTTACAGAAGCAGGTTGTCATCTAAATTAAGGCTCGCTAATAAACGTTGCTGTAAACGTCTGGATATCTGACACTGCCTGCTTTGACAGACAGTGAAGGAGAAGCTAGCTAAAAGCCCAACAACACACTTTATATGCTATTCGTGGAGAAGAAAACACGCCAAACACGGATAAAAAAAGAGTAAATGTCAAATGAAGCTGTAATTTCATCGAAACCGCCCAACGTTTTAAACCGGGCTCGAGCTGTCATTTCGGTCAATGAAAGAGAAGCCGCCGCTTAACAGCATAAACAGGTCAAATATTAAACACATTTTAACGACATATTAACGGTTAATTTCAATACCTGCTCATGTCAAACGGTGTTCGAGTGTCTTCTGCTTCGAGTCGGTGTTACATCCAACGAACACACATACACACACCTCTCCCCAGCGCCGGCCTCGGATGATACTGAAGTGACAGAGCTGTGTTTAGGAAATTGCCAACGCGTCTCCCGGAACCGACGTAAATCCTGACATGGACGTGCGCGCTGACGTAGTTTACGCTTGCGTCAGAAAAGGGCAGGGCTGCTGGCTGCTACCGAAACAGAATCAGCCGCACCTCTTTTTTGTTTATTTTTATGGTGTTGCACAGTTCTCAGCACAGTGACCACAAGGTGGCAGATGATTGCCAGTCTAAAGATGCAGCCTGCTGCTGTGCAGGCATCCCAGTTCTGGATGCACCATTATAAAGAGTGTAATAAGTTGTGTGTATTGGATTAATGATAATGATATTCTTAATCACACACAAAAGATGAATCTGTTATTAAGAAAAATGAGCCTGAACAATTTTAATGGTTTAAAATGCATAACAGTTTGTATTTTGTTAAAATTCAGCTACCATTGAAATAGAATAAGCGCAATAGGAACAGAAGAAAAAAATATATTGTGTGATCAGCAGGCTGGGGTGACTGCTCTCAATCTAATAAGAGAAGTTTACATGTTCAGTGGGGAATGCTTTTGAGAAGCTATTACAAATAGTTATATTATAGGAAATACTATATAATTTGTCTATGTCACGTACACTCTACAGAGCCAGGTCCAGGACCCTCTTCTGGTTTGTCTTCAGGGAGGAATGTGGAGGAAGAGATGGAAAAGGGTACAGATGAAAGTGAGAGCACAGAAACACAGGCGGCAGAGAGTGAGGACGAAGATGCTGAAAGGAAATCAGATGTGGAGGATTGACTAAATGAGTGTACAGAAAATAGTAACATAAAAATGCATAGTTTTATGTAAAAAAGCATAAAAAATTTGGCCTTCTGTGTTGGGGGGCCTGTAAAAATTATTTTCATGGGGCCCAGAATCCCTAGCAGCGCCCCTGGTAATAACCCCCAACAAGTGGGTTAATTGTTTGGATTTTGGCCTACATATAGGCTTCAATCAGTCGTTTTTAGGCCAGTAGCTGTTGAACCTTTTTTATTTTATTAGTTTAATAATTAGTTCCATTTTGTAGGGACGTACATGTCTTTAGGAACCTAGAAAAAAAAAAAACTATAGTGGGCTGTTTGAGATTTTATGAAAACTAAATAAGCAACCTGGCAGGCAAAGGCCTATCCTATATATTCCATTTGATTATTATTTATTTACTTTAAGAAAATCAAACTCTGTTAAATAACAACAACAAAAAAACAAACAAAAAAAAAAAAAATGTAATAATGAATAAAAAGTAAGGGGGAAAGTGCCTGTTATCTGTTGTGGATCAATGTTATGACATAAGTAAAAAATCTCAGTAACACTTTACAATAATCATAACTTATGAATGTTAAAAAAACATTTATAAATGGTATGCAGATAGTTTATTAAAGTTTCATCATCATGTATAAATTAAATATAGACCATTGATAAATTGTAAATTTTACAAATTTAACCCTCATTTTATAATACAAAAATCTCACTTTGGTTTCCTTTCAGAAAATGTGACCTTCAATGAAAGTCATTAAGCCATAGCTAGTTAACACTTTAACTGATAAACCTACACACAAGAGTGAACCATCTATAGCAAGAAAACATAAACTATAAGCTTACTACATGGAAACATTTACTCCATGACTACAACTGTTTTGAAGAATCTCATCAATGGAACAGTAGTGTGTATTTTGCAGCAATCCCAAACACGTGACTTAACAGACAACACTATATAAAAGGAAATGTGAACCAGCTTGGCGACTTGAACTGCCAATGAAACCTTGAGGGAACCCTATCAGTCAAGTCACTGCAGCTACAGGTGGTAGGCCCTGTTTTACAAGGCGCAGCTCTCACCTCCACCCACAGCCAAGAGTAAAGAGAGTCATGAGCTAAGAGGCAGAGAACCTGAGAGGAATTTGGACTATATTTACACAGGAGGCTGCTCATTCCCGTGCTGAGGTGATTATTTTCCTTCCATGGCATTTTATAAACAAGATAGCCAGGAAGACGCACGAGAGTGTCCGGTGTGTTATGAGAGTCTGTCTGGCACTGAGAGGACTCTGAGCTGCGGGCATGTTTTCTGCCACGACTGTCTGGTCAAGACGCTGGTCAGCATCAACAGCGATGGAAACATCAGAGACACTATTGCTTGTCCTATCTGCAGACATCTCACATTCATCAGGAAACAGAAGGAAGCGCTGGTGTCCCTCACAACAGACAAGGATCAAGATGAGGGGCAGACGCTGGAAGTGCCTATCCGTCTGCCGCCCGAGCAACTCCAGAGCGTACCACGCGAGGACCCTTTACCCAGGGGGGTTAACTGGGCCGCTCACTGCTTCAGGTGGGTGTCTGAACGAGTCCGTCGGCAGACTCTGATCAGACCCAGCCACAAAGCGTCTCAGATCTTTATCATAAGCGCTCAAGGGCGACCCATGGCTGAGGAAGATGCCCTCAGTGTTGTGATGACTGTGGTTCAGCCTCAGCGCAGGAGAAGGCGCAGGATTTGCACAACTGCTCGATGCTTGGTCGTTCTACTGACAGCATTTACTTTACTGGCACTTGTAGCAGCAACTTTACCCTGGATTTTATTGGCATAGCCTAATTTTATTCATGTATGGATTATGAAGTGCCAAAATGGATTGTTGAACTGACATTTGAGGACTCCAGTTTATCTATGTGCTCCACCATAAAGTATGTATTTAAAGAAGCTGGTAGGGGAAATGAAATGAAAATAATGTTCTTAAAATGTACACTTGAGCTTGCAATAGCACAGAGTCTGGGTATTGTCACTTCCTTCTTAGGTGTCAGTACTTTACAAGCATGCCCTTGTCATTTATGAGCACCCCTTGGCAACAGACACATGTAAAGTGGGCTGGGGAAGGCTGACACACTCTCTTCTTTTAAGTGACATGTCCTACCTGATGTAGAAGAAGCAAAAGAAGAACTTCCAAGTGTGCCAAAAATACTGGCATTTTAAGTTATAGTTTAAACATTTGAACATGTGTTTGGTGGAAAAATGCAATAAAACCAGTAAAACTGAGCTGCTGTGAAAGCATTCTGAGTCATTGCTGGATTTGTTGTTGGATACCTGTTTCTAAGCAACTTTGCATAATAGTGTAAACCCAAGAGGAGAAAGAACTATGTCGCCTTTAAGTTACACTTTGACATCAGCTTGGTTTAATGAGGTTTGGTTGAAGCGTACATCGACAGGTCATTTAATTTTACATCAAAAGAAAGGACGCTGTGTACCCTAGAAATAATTAATACGCCCCCTCTAAAGGAGACAGCCTTGCAGGTAGGGATGAGATGATGAACTGTAAGGAGATACACAGCCGGACTGTAGCATCAGATTACCGCCGCCTCTTCAAGAATCTAGATTGACACCGAGCAGAAAGAACACAATTATGCAACCAGGGCTGGAGATTCACCTCAGGTAGTTAGGAGGAGAGCGTTGTCAGTATCACTACCATCTGGACAAACGTGTACACTCCTAGTTTCCTCCTGTGTTAAGCTCTCAGCCATCTTGCAGGGCCTGTCTTACAGGTTACACTCTTTAAAAGGCTTCTCCTGTATTTTTTAGTCATACCTGGTTTCCCAGAGCGAGAAAGGAAGATGACACACAGCTGATTTTAAGGCGAAAAGCTAATGTCTGCAAAATAACTGAAAATGCCTCCTTTCTCAAATTTGACTGAAAGAGTGTTGTGTAAAATAATTTGATCTGCAGTTAAAATGCAACTGAAGTGGATTTTTGAATTGAAATTACAGGCAGACCAAAAAAGGAAGTCAAAAACACAGAAACACCTCTCAGAGCGCTTAAATGCTACATCAAGCATTCACGCCAAAGTTACATACTGATAGAAGTCTCAGTGAGGTGTCTTCAGGATTACAAGGAGCTCCTAAGTAACATACTGTACATACAGCATACTTCTTCAGGGTTAGCCGCTGGGATCTGGCTTTCTGTGTGTATACTACAGGGGAGGAGTGTGTCATGGTTGGGGTCATTGACTGAATGAGCTGCTCCTGGGAACAGTGAACTCTGCCAACAAAAGATCTCCTGATTCACTCTTTCAGACTCTCTGGCACTCTGGCTCTTCATTGACCAGTTTAATTTGCTTTATTTGACATGTACACTGACACACATTCCTTACATTACTAAAGACGGTTTGATGTTGATTTAGCCTGGTTCTGTTCAGATTAAATCACTCTGTTTGTCTCATGTTTGTTGTAATCTTTGTCATAGCGCCAAAATAGTTTCATTCATGCAGGAAAATGTTTCAGAAGTCATTGAAATAAAACCCACACGAACCCGGTGAGGTTATTACAAATGTAGAGTTTAATATATATATTTATTTCTGACATTCTGATAAGGATTGCAGGTAGGCTTCACAGTACACACTGTGTTCCACTTGATATGCTAAGCAGAGGAGGGAAGGGTGGGGGCATGGTGGGCTCGACAAGCGGCAGGTTTTCCTTTGTACACTAGTAGTGAAAGCAGAAGGAGGCAGTACATCCACAGGCAACATCTACTCCTCTACCGTATTGCTCAAAACCCCACCAGGGACCATTTACGGTGATCCACATTCTCTTTTGTCCGTCTTTATGTTTTTCCCCTCTTACAATCCCTAAAAAGACAGTGATTGACACAAAAATGTGGATTATCAAAAGACTATCTAAGCGCATGCATGATATTTTTTCAGATTTATCGTATTTTTTTACTCATTTGAAAACCCCCCCTCCCCTCAGAATGTAAACAAATTCAGCTTCACGTTAGACCCAAGTATTGGTGGTGAGGTGAGCTAGGAAATGTAGGTCTACAGTACATAAAAAGCTCGATCAAACCATGTAACATTGTACCATTAGGTGCAAAATGTGGCTCCTATCTGCTCTTGAAATGATGGTAAGCTAATTAACTTGGCTAAAATTAGGGATGAAATCATGACTTGTGTTTCAGGGGAGGTTTTTTTTTTTCTTTTCTTTCAGCAGCATAATTATCACAACTAATGAGTATGAATGCATGCTTTCAGGTGGCTGTAAGCTCCAGTTATGATGCACAAAAGCATTACAGTAACACTGCCCTGCACTGATAATAACACATGCCAACAGGCCCTAATTAACCTTCATCCGAATACAAGCGCCCATTAGCCTGCATGTTATGAAAAACCAGGTAGCCCACTGTTGGAGATGGAGTGAGTCACATTCAGTCTGCACACATAAAGAGAGAGAGAGAGAGAGAGAGAAGCCCCAAAGAGCCTCCTTGTATAAATGTATGGATCCAGCACAGAAAATAAAACCTTTAGCACACGTTAAATATGCCTATAGTTCCAAAATAACAACCAGTGTGAGGGCACTTGCAATTGTTGTCATACAGTAAAATCACCACAACTATCAATATAAGTATCAACATCACCAAAATCTTCATAAACAGAGTCCATTGAGAACACACACTGATGCATACTGTACTGTAGATCACTGTTGGAGAGAGGTTAAACCAGAGTTCATTTCAAACAGAAAACAAATTAAAGTGATTTTGCGTTTAAATTAATGGCTTTTTTTTTTTTGTATGTCTGTTTGGTTGGAGTGATTTTGACCACTTTTTGGACTGAGGTGGATTGATAAACACTGTAATTGCACTTTAGTTGATAAACTCGTCGTCATCAGACGTTTCTCATGGGATTAAAAAGTGACGCCGCAGCACCTGGTGAATTTGTTAACCTCTGATTAATAACAACATAAAATTCTCCTCTGAAGAAGCATCAATTCAGAGTTTGAATCATCGTGTCTAATTGTGTGAGCAGATACTTCTGATCCAAAAAAGAAGTTAAAGCTGTGTAAAATGTTAGTAAGAACAGAACTGGAGACACTTAAATCTTCTATTGTGCAAAGACAACATATGAAGGGATGAAACTTTTATCATTGAATAAAACACATGTGCACTTTTTAAATTTGATCCCAGCAACACTTTTCAGGAACGTTTGGACTGGTGTTTTTTAACATTTGATGCATTATTTCTACTTTTGGAAATCAGGGAGACCAGTTTTGGGAATCTTGTCCAATTCTTGCTTGATATCAGATTTCAGCTGCTCAACACTGAAGGTTCTCTTTTGTCCTAACTTTTGCGTTGTATATTGTATGTGCCAAATGTGTCCAATGGGTGACAGGTGGCACTTCAGCTGTGTTCAGATCTCAATTTGGTAGAAACTCTCCAGCCGAATACATGGTGTCAATGATTTAAAAAAAATGTTAAATAGAAGTTTTAATCAGTTTTAATCTTGGTTTATGGATGCACCAACACACTGTTCACAGACAGCTGATTTTGAGCCAATGTGGGGATTTCCACTACAGAGTCGTCTATTTTTAATACAGTGCTGCCAGGAGACCCCAGTTTTGTAGTTTTACGCTGAGGCACATAATTTAGAAACTATTGAAATAGTTACTCACGCAGTTACAGAGTGATGAACTTTTTTCCATCTTAATTTCTGTTATTACAAATTAACCCAGTTAGGAAAATGTTTCTCTGGTTTTATTTATTTTTGTCAAGCACATATTTTCTTTTGCTTGAATCAAATTTATGAGCATGTATTTTTATTGTAAAACATTATTTTTTTGTTTCCGCATTCAATATGTTGTCTTCTAACTATTTTTAATCAAATATAGGCCCTAAATTATCAGAAAATTATGAAATCCTGTTTTATCAACATTATACACAGCTGTCTGGGGTTGTCTTTGCTATTTTTAACCCAATAATAAATGCCGCAGGGCTCCATTTATCCTCATTTTACGACAATTTATAGGTCCATGAGTGCTCGGAGTGATCTTATTTTTTTAAAAATCCACTCATAAATAAATAAAGTAAATAAAGGGTGTTGGTTTGCAACTCATTAGTGCTCTAGCATGTTCGAAGTCAAAGCTCAGGAGACAAAATTAGAAAGACTACAATTGGTTTCTTGCAGAAATCACATTCTGCGTTTGTGCTGCAGCATCGTTGTTACCTGGTGTCAAAGTGAAACATCATGAATCTACAGTAAACCTGTTCACTGTGTGCAGGGACAAAAATAACATCAAATTTTTAATCATTACATTTTCTACACATGATAAATATCAGCACATATATATTATTATTATTATTATCATTATCATTATATATTCTCAAGATATGCATTTTACATATAGTTTTCCTCTCAGATTTATATACATCAATTTATGTACAGTCTTTGTATTTACACTAGGGGTCAAAGGTTGTTGAACCTGAAGCACTTGAAACAAGGTTAAGAGAGAGATACATACGAACCTAAAGGCAGTGTAGTCATCCATCCATTGTCAGCAAACCGTAACAGCACATGGGTGGTCTAAATTTACTCTCCAAGGACAACAACGGCAGAAACACTCACACAAAATCAAACGCTGCCATTCTGAGGCCCTTGATCCGAAGCGGTTAGTTCCTATTGGCTCGTCATGCAAACACGACATGGTGCTATCATCAAAAACTGAAGAGGAGATGCAAGTCCAAAGAAATGTAATTTACAGTAACATTCTTCTCATACTGTGCTGGTATAAAGTGAGTTAAAGTGTGTTTACCTGTATGGAGGTAAACATTTAGATAAAGAACTACAGTTTTAAGATGTGAAAGAAAAGGTTAAGTAAAGACTGGGTGGAACAGTAAGAATTTAACTGCATTTGATGTTTCATCCTGCAGGCTTAACCTGTCTGTAGGGCTCAGCATTTTTTTTTCTAATGTGCACAAAGCTTGAATACCCTGTGAGCAAATCACCAGACTACCCTCCTGCTCTGCCTCTCTGTTTCACCCTGAGGATGGGCTTCGCTCCTAACCACGTCAGGCTCTGAGTTTCCCTAACCAAAAGTTGCACACTGTGTGAGTATCATATTGCAATTTGATTGCATGTTCTAATAAGGCAAAAAAGAAATTTAAAAAACCCACAGAAATACTGACCACAGCATTGAACGACAAATATGAACAAAGCAAAGCAGAGAAAGAAAAATCATTAATGTTATACTCATCTATATTCCAGTCTTTTCTCCTAAAGGCAACTGTTCCTCCACTATGGCATTTTGGTGTGTTTTTTTCTTTTGTATCACATTTATGTTCTAGCGAGCATTTGTAAGAGATGAGTTTCTTTGCAGCCTGCAGCAGATGTGCTCAAGTTCTGTTTTCAGGTGGGCATAGGTGAGGCCAGTGTGTGTTTCCGTCAGGCCATCAGGTGGCGACAGTTAAGAGTATGAACAGCCATAGGGGTGCTGGTAAGCTGTGATGCCTTAGGGTCATAGGTCATAGAGTGGTGCTCTGGGGCTCCTCCTCAGGCACAGCGTCCCCCTCCGGAGAGTCTGTCACTGCCACCGACCTCCTGCAAGGGGCACCGCTGAACTCATCGATGAGGCTGTCCAGATTGACATTGATGGAGGGGATTTCATAATTGAAGATATCTAATGGTGAGCATGGCGGGAGAGGTGAGTATGATGAGCAGAATGGTGGAAATGGTGACGATGAGCAAGAGGAGGAGGAGAAGAGGGCGTATGATGATGATAATGAGGTGTAAAAACGGAAGAGAGCAGAAATAATATTAATCTTTTTGAGTCTGAACTGATGATAATATGATGTCTGCCCTGATTGAAGTAATCAGTAGATTACATGTGCTTCACATTCTACACAGGGATTTCTTTCAGTGTGTCGCTAATCACACTGCAACCAGCTTGGTAGCAACCAGTGTGATATGTCACAGCTTTTTGTGTCTCTAGAGACGACAACAACACATACTTTTTTTTTTTCCAGATAGAATACAATAACAAGTCAAAATGACTGCACAATGACACATTACTGTACACGTTTACAACAATGGTCAGATAAACCAACACAGAGGCAACAAGATGTGTGTGGAACTCTGTGGGAAAATGGCACCAAGACACCAAGTGGGCTTGAAGTAACGATGAAAATCTCATGAGGACCGGGTATTTGTATTTGCTCTATATCAAGGTATTCTAATGCTCTGCTGCATTTACTGAGAGCAGCAGGTCCAAGCAGAGACTGATGGCTACTCCTGTGTAGGAATGAGATGGAGCGTGGCAGTGTAGTAAGAGGGAGCAGAGGTTATAAAAAAGCGATGAACCTGCCAAAGGAGGAGTGGGGGTTACCTGTGGCCCCCCTGAAACCGCTGGCAGGGGCGTTAGAGGGGGGAGAGGGGATGTCTGCTGGTAGAGGGCTGGGAATGGGCAACGAAAGAGGAAGGGGCTTTAGGATGGACCTTTGGAAGCGACGGCGTCTGCAATGTGAGCGCAGTGTGGTGCTCTCTGGGAAGTCCTTAAGCCATGCATTATTGTTTGGACTACAACACCATGCACAAAAGCTGCTAAGAGGAAATAGGGAGGCTTGTCTGATTGAGAGCTATGGTTGGTATGTTTGAGGCAGGCTGCAGGAGACCCCAGAGGCAGCCACAGCACGAGGCCAGGCAGTGAGATGGAGCGCATGGGGCGGGGACGGTTCTGGCTTACCCTAAAAGTCCCCCTCACACTTAGCCCACACTGAATCCCTGGCCTCACACAGCTGCAAGGTACACAATAGTAGCAGGGGGAACAAGAGAATGATAAATATAACAAAGTGACAGAAAGCTTGGTATAAATGACAGAACACCTCATCATCAGAACATCATACTGCAGAGAGAATCTGGGGTTTGTCTGGCTGAGAGTCCACGCCTGCTGCTACGCTTTTACCGGACTGGTGTTTAAGCGTCTGACCTACCTCTGCCGAGTGAGGGTCTGGGTAACACAGATATACAGAGAGCACATGATGAATCTAATGGCGACTTCCATACAAGCAGGACGAGCTATGCTTGCCTGATGTTTCCACACATTACCCAGAAACATCATCACATAACACAAGCAATGAGTACATAGGTCAGGAGGTTTGCTCACTACATTAGCACAAAAATGCTAATTTGTACATGGTTTCATTCTCAGGCATCTGTGTCTAAAAGGCAACGTTTTTTTGTTTTTTTTTCATTCAGACATTCATTTGAGAGCAGTCAGTAAAGGGGGCGGGAGGGGGGTGTCTTTTAAATCTATAAGTCCTACAGAGTCCTACACTCGTCCACCGTCTCCGTTGGACAGAGCCACAGCAAGTCTGAGAGAGGGCCGCTGCAGCCCCACCTGTGGGGGCGGCGGGGGTGTTGTTGCCAAGGGCTGATGTTTACCTGTAGACATGCTCTCCCCGGGAGACAGTCCATCCAGGAGACCCTGCTCCAAGGGCTGGGGAACTGGGGCCATGGCCGGGCCAGTGAGCCCTGGGGGGGCTGTGGGTGGCTGCGGAGGGGGCAGGCTGGGTCTCTGCCTGGGCTTAGGGGCGGGCCGTGACTTGGTGAGCGTTCCTGTCAGAGAGGGTGGGGACGAGAGCGAGTGGGGCGCCCCTAATGGGGTCTGCCCGGGGGAGGATGGGGGCACTTGCCCTGGAGGGCAGGCCAGTCCATAAGGGGAGGGGGTGCTAGGTGGTGTGGGGGACAGGCTGACCGGTGACGGCTGACCTGTGGACTGGTCGGACATCCCGCCAGACTGGCCGTATGGGACCTTGGGGGGCACTGGGGCCAACTTCTTGGAACCTGGGAACACAAAACACATTTATATTATTATCTGCTGTTCAGAAAAACCCACTTAAAGGAATATTCCGGTGTAAAATTAATTCAGGGTCAAATATGATCATAAATGTTCTTCCTTGAGCTGCGACACCCCGCCTGAGTCCGTAATGGACTGGTCCAGGTCACGCTACAAACAAGCGGCTGCTGGAAGAGAGTAGGTGAGTTGTATGTACTCTCTTTGCTAAAGAAATCAGGCAAAGCTAAAAATATGTTTGGTGGCTAGTACTATAACTAGGACCCTATATGTCCTGTTGATGAAGTTAGGTGCTGTTCTGAGCATTATTTGTGGCTATAGAGTGGCATTTTGGTTGAGCACTTGGCCTTCTGTATTGCTATCGTGCGGTCGTTACTAAAGTTGGTATAACTGGAGAAGGAAGCGGTCAGCAACGGGGTGTCTAACTCGGTGTTACAGTGTGTTTGACCCTTAATTTTACGTCGGAGTATCCCTTTAAAGAGAAGGAAGCAAATATAGAGTGGGACCCACCTTTGCGCAGGGTGTGTGGACTGTGCTCTGTAGAGTGGGGGGACTGGCTGCTGCTCTGGGGACTACTGCTGGGGGGGACTGTTGGACCTGCCACCTGGATGGCTTTGTGTCCAATGACAGGGGAGAGCTCTTTACTCTTCAAAGAACTGAAAAAGACAAGCAGGCGTTAGTGTGTGAAAGCAGCAGACGTTGCGTATTTGTCACGTTTGGCACTATAACCACGACCACCATCATCACCATCACTTATTAGCCACATTTTCTGAAACACACAACATGATGTCAGGAAAAGGTTTATCCTGTCCAATCAGTGTCACACGCTTTGATACACCTCTTATATTTACATAATGCAGTGTAGACATGAAAACCGGAGTCTGTAGGCACATACAAAAAACATCAAAAAAGATGGAGATTGGTTTCTACCCACAGAAAAAGACAGTACATGTCTTTTGCATGCCAATCAGTTGCGTCGTCTTTTGAATTGAAATGTATAACAAACACAGAACCAACAGTCCCTGCCTCTCCAAATAGCTTTAAATCATGTTGACTCAACTCCCGCCCAGCTGGGACCTGAACTTGAACCCATGATAGCATCCCCAGGAGAAAACTTTCCAGCTTTCGTGAACAGATGATGAGCACATTTATATCCATAGACAAACAGAAAGCAGTAGCATGGAGGCTTTTTGGAAGCAGAAACTCATACATTTACTTTATCAAGTTGGTTGTTTACCTCGTATAATAATGTAACCACAGTCATGAGAGGCTCAAAATAGACCCCGCATGTTACTACTTTATGTTCTTGCAGCCAAGACAAGGTACATTAAAAAGGAGCAAAAGAGTTCCAATTCTGTTTTAAAACATTTCAAATTGATAATTACAACAAAAACACTTCATAAATAATATTAATTGAAAGGTGCTAGAAAATCCCACATATACTAATCTCATCATCTTGGTACATAAGTGATCTCTGGTTTAATCCATATCTCAAGATAGCATCAGGATCAGGATAATGTAAACACTATAACTCACTGTAAACAGTGCAAAAACAACACATCAAACATTGAGACTGAGAAGAAGTATTGTTTTATGAAAAATACATGCTCATCCTCAAATCTGATGCCAAAAATGTGTTTTTTAAAAAGGTTAGGAAAGGGGCATAATTACTGCCGTTTTGCATAACCTCTTCTTGAAACAAACCTGCAAATGTCAAAGAGATCAGCCTCTGGAGATTTGAAAGTGAAATGTTGCCTGATATACAGTTCAGAGCTTCTACAGGCAGACTGGACTCTTCTACTTAGGAGCCATACTGTTGTAAAAAATCCAGAATGTGGTTTTGATGGCAGCATATGTCACTCCAAGGTGACCACCCAGATGTAAAAGCTAGTCATGCAATGGGCATCTATAGCATCCTAGTATTAATATGAACGCTAGCTTTTGAACTATGCCCTGATAACAAGCTGCTGACAACATTCACATATGTTTTTTTTCTTTGCATGAAAAAGCATTAACCTGCATTTATGAGTGCAACAGAAAAACTTACATGTGTTTTAATGCAGTGCTGCCTGGAGCCATAAAGATAATGGACATTTAATTTTGTTTTTTGGACTTTCCCCCTTATTATAGAGTTTTTTTAAAATAACATTTTGTACCGTGGATGATGAAGTTGCCAAATTCTTGATGAGGAACAATCTGAAACTGTTAACCATTTGCTCGCACAGACTCTCACATAATGCTGAACCTCAATCTGTCACTCAAAGGCTCTTTTTGCACCCAACCATGTCACTGACCTGCAGTGATTTAAGCCGAGTAGTTGGATTGAGGTTTTTCTACTTTAAATTATTGCATCTCTCAGCTTTTTTTAGTCTTTTCTGGTCCTTTACTTAACTTTAAGGAAACATGTTACTATCATCAAATTCAAAATGAACAAAGTTTTAAAAATAATATATTGTCTTTGCACTATTTCAATTTAAATGAACTTGAATATCACCTTTTTTATTGCATTACACTGATTTATTCTTTCTGCTCAGCGCATTATGTCACTATACCTGTAATTTATGTCTGAAGAGAATATCAATCATATAGACTTTATAGAAACATAGAACAGTTTAACTGATATGAACACACACAATGCCTGCAGACGCACCCGTACTGCAGCACTCACATTTTGGATTATGTGACATCCAATTATCAGCAGTCCTTCTGAAATGCCTCTGAGCCATTTGACCGGGAAGTTATGGAGATATCAAATCAAAAGAAAAAAGGTTATCAAACGAGCGTGTGTCCGACTGCTGACAAAGATTCGCTGTAATGATCCAGGCTGTCCTGTGCAGTTATTCTATCATCAGAGACTCATGAGTCAGGGGACCGCAACTACAAACTCAGCACTTTGGCTCTAGCTGTAAGATGCTCATATCACATTAAGATATTCCATACCGGACATTATAGACAGCCACAATTGCAAGCAGGAGACTGCGTTTCTGACCATGAAACTCTTCACGTCCTTGAGAACCTGATGGTTAGTAGAACTGCTGCTGTAAACTGTAGAATAAATACATTCATATGCTATTCGATAGCCATATGCAGCACTGACCATGTATTTATCGTCTACCAATACCAGCATGAAACCGAGCGCTATATAAGCCAGTAACATCCTTAGTTGCTAGGCAACCCCATGAGAGGCATCCCCTGACAACCTGAATGTTACAGAATCTGAGATATGTAGTTCGAAGGGGGAGGGAGAAGAAAAAAAGCGAAAAGAAAATGTGAGCCAGCGAGCTAGAGGAGAGTAAAGATAGAGCTGCTGCTTGGTGATACATCCACAGCAGCCGAGGGTGTGTTGTATTTACCTAGTCAGCCTGGGGGGTCCTCTCTCTCGGGCACATGGACAGGCAGCCCACGGTGGGGGTGGGGGAGCGGACGACGGGAGGCTAGGGGGGTTGCCAAGGGACTGGTCGTGGCGGGTTAGTACCAAGGGGGTTTTGATGTAGAGTGGTGAAGCATTAGTATCTGGTGGGGGGGCATGCATCATTTCACCAGGCGGGCTGTGCTTGGGGAAGTGCAGACAGCTGGGTTTGGGGTTGGAATTGATGTCAAGTGACGAGGAGGAGGAAGAAGAAGAGGAGGAAGGGGGCGGGGCAGGGGCCGGGGGAGTGAAGCCAGACCAGCGCAGTGGGGGCGGGGGCGAGGCAGGGGGCTGAGACTCTGGACCCGGTGCCACAGGGCGAGCGCAGGGCGGGGGCTTGGGATAGAAGTGGTGGGGGGCAGCGTGGCACGAGGAGGTTGGGTAAGGGGGGGGTGGCCGGTCCTCCCCTTGGGGTGGGTGGGCATGAGAGGTGTCCGGCCGATTGGGCGAGACGTTGTCTGAGCTGTAGATATTAAGAGAAACGACAGCACAAAAAAAAACAGCTCTAGTGATTGAACAGGGAGACGCACTGGAGCGATAAAGGATAAGCTGTTTTCATGATTAGGGTGTGAGTGTGTAAGTTGATCCGTAGCCAAAAACAGAAGGAAAAAGTTGCATCTTAGGGTGGGTGGTGGGCACCAAGCTAAGCACACAGTCAGCTTAGTGCAAATACAAAGACAAGCACAAAGAAACAGCAACGAAAAAGAAAGTTTTATTGCCAAAGGAAAAGAACTGAGTGTGTAGGTCTCCTGCTGTGATCACCTTGTGTCTGCACACTGCATGGAGCTGTGAGGATCTGGAGTCAAAGTGCTGGTCTGCAGCAGCGTAAAATCTTATCAAGCAGAGCTACTTAATATCTCCTCATGGCTGCATATGGAAATCCTATCTGCCCATATCCTACAGCATAGCATATGACTTGTTTGCATTGCAGGTCCTGCAGTCAGCCCAGGGCAGTGTGAAACAGACACAAAACCCTTTCATCGGCTGAAAGAGCCACAGGAGAGGAGGGGGGAAGCCAGCAAAGCTAGAAGCTATATTATCTCTTGTCTGCCACACAGGCAGAGCCAGCGACCATGAAGTGATTATTCATGTGTTCCACTATGATAATCATATTAAAAAAAAATGGTGAAATCAGTCTGAGTGTCAACGGAAAGAGAAAAAACTATAACAAAAGCAGAGAAAGCCAAGCCACGACAATGAGATATTGAAATATTTGCATGCTCGCAAAGGATCTGAAAAAAAGCCGAGTGCCATGGAGAGAGAAGAAACCTCCATGAGATGTTTGGAGGAAAACCTTTGGAATGTTAAGTCAGAGAATATCAGTTATCCTTATGAAAATCATACAAAACAGTGACAGGAACTCGACAAACAGCAGGGTGAGGTGAAAAAAGTGGAGGGTGAGAAATTAGAGACTGAGACATGGAGGTGTTGATTTAGAGACTTAAAAAAAACTTGCACAAAATGAGGGTAGGATTAACACAGCCAAGGATCTGGATCATTTAGAGCTGAGAACGTTAATGATGGTGATGATGGTGGCAATGACCGGATGCATGAGGAAGAGGAGAACAGCGTCTCCACTGTGACTTACCAAACCCTCTCTCCAGGTGGCGGTGTCGCCGACGGGGAGATGGCGAGCTCTCCGGGCTGCTCAGGGATGAGAGTGTCCGCAGGAGAGCCCGGGCCTTGCATGCCTGGAGGAGTTGAGGAGGTCTTCCGCGCCAGTGTGGACGAACCCTTCCGGGACACCCAGGATGTATCCATAACCCGGACGCCCATACTAAAGACAAATACATATACAGAGTCATATCTGATGAAGAGGGAATGAGGTGAGTGGGGGTTGGTGAGGAAAAAAGTGGGGAAAAAGGCATGATACGGTACCTTTGTATCTTCCTAATGCTGCGTTAGTAAGGGGAACAGAGAGGCAAAAGGGATATGAGGTCAGAAGTGGTGCAGAAATGGTTCACATAAGTAGACTCAGTGTACTGTATATGATGAGGATGATGAGATTCACTGTGGCAGGATGGAGCAGAAGTGATGTACCAGAGGTGAGGGGATGTCAGATCACATAACCAAACTGCACTAATCTTTCGATTTAAGCTTTTCTTTTTTTCTTGAACCTGTTTATAAACTTTGTTTGAAACACTCACACTTTTTTTCTAACGCTGCCAATCTCAGTACTCATCAGTTATTGTCTGCTGATATTAAAGCGTCTGGGAGTGATGACAGACTTTAAGGTTTAAGGACTAAATGACTGATTAGAGTCCAATTAGGTATTGATGATAACACAGACACAATTCCCATACTAAACTCCAACCCCCTGCCAACAAGTTCTCCATTATTATGAAGCGTCTGCAAATGAAGATTACTCAGCTGCTTATTACTCTCCACAGATTAAAGCCATTTGCTAACACCCCATATCATTAAATCCTGAAAGTGGGATGCACAGATTTATGTCTATCACATCCTCTCTCTCAATGTAACGGGACAATTTTGGTGAAGGCATCGGCTTAAATTCTTCCAGTGATTTTCCACCGGCAGGATGAATGACTCAGGTTAGGTGATGTGCTAGCCAGACTGTGAAGGAGGAGCCGGGTGTAGGAGGATGGGAAGACAGCCCTGAAGAAATATTTCCTGAGAAAAAAAGAGGTAACCGGCAGTCCTCTATCAAAGACCTGTTGCCATAGAGACAACGCCACTCAAGGCAATTCAGGCCGCATGTATTCAAATGAGTCAGCCTCTCTCGTCCTGGTGATCATAAGACACGTAGCTGTGTGTGCTGGAATTATTGACAGGTAAGATTAAAGATACATCCTCCTGTCTTATGGGAGTGAAAGCTGAGCCTGCAGGATGTGTAAATACTTTATCACATCAATGGGTTTTTAATGAGCGTGTTTAATAGGAGTTAAACATCACAAGAGCGAGAGGAGGAGTGGGTGGAAAGAGGGAGGAAGAGCGTGGGAGAGTGATATGTGGGCAGCAGAAGGACACACTTGGCATCATCATACCCATCCTTCTTGTAAAACTCCAGCATCATGTTGTCTGTGGCGACACTCAGTGGGCGTCGGCTCTGGTCGTGCTGCTGCTTGCGCTCCGATTGGTCCATGTCTGGCGAGGGCATGGAGCTGTAGTTGGAGTTGTGGTTGGTGTGGATCGGGCTTCCGTAGCTCCCCGTTAGGTTAAACTCAATCTCTGTCAGAGAAGAAGAGCATCATCAGCATATCTAATACTCATATTATATCAAGTTTAGTGGTGTTTAGTGTACATATGTCGGTATCTGCTGAATGACATTCAAAATCTAAAATCTGCCTCAAAATAGGAAGTTTCAGAATCTATTAAAAACATATCAAATACTAATTTAACTCTGTTTATTTTCAGGCTTTCTCACTCATCATCCAGCTGTACTGAATACTTGATTCTGATTGGTCTAAATCTATAACAACAGTGGTTAATATTAAAAAGCAAGAACAGCAGACACAATCAGATCAATCCATAAAATGAAGTCTGACACATTTCTAGTTTATGATTTTAAAGAGTAGTCTTGTTGACTATGTGGCAGAAATGTTACTTTTCGATAGCATCAGTGAACAACATTAAGTCAACAGCAGAGACAAGGTGAATATCTGGAAAATAGCATGGAAGTAGAAAGGTCTAAGACAGTGGTTCTCAACTGGTGGGTCCCGAACCAAAAGTGGGTCGCAGACCGATCTGAATGGGTCGTGAACAGCGGGTCAAAAAAGTAAATATTTCATGCGCATCTGATGTTTGACATGTCTTTTATTTTGAAAAATAGCTTATTTTGGAAGGCGTGCGTTATGTCGTGGTCCTCCTCGGTTTCTTATTAATGTCCTGAATGCAGTAAAATTATTTATTTTTTTGTTTTGGTCTTTATTTTGTGCAATTTGATATTTTCTATATATGAAACTTTAGTAGTTGTCATCCTCAGTTCATGTGCTCTGTAATGCACTTTACTCATTAAATGGGTGTATTTATGTTAAAGATTTGAGTCTTTAAAGGTTGTTTTTACAAAAAATAAATTTGCTTGGTTTGAATTTTATAAAAGTGGGTCGCGACTAGGAGGACCACGGGGAAATGTGGGTCCCAGAGTGAGACCAGTGAAGAACCACTGGTCAAAGAGACATCCACCAAACTAAAGAAAACATAAATAAACCACAACACTGTATGAGCTTAACAGTATAATGGGACTGGCTGAGTTGGATGAAAATGCCAATTCAGGATATTTTTTGCATCCTCTGGTACTGACATAATGCTAAGACTGTAACATGGAAAAAATACTAATTTTAATTCTAATGCTATATTTAGTTGGTAGCCCAGTAACAAGCAAAATGAACAGAAAATTTTTGGAACTACAATCCCCTGCTGTACAATGTGGTGTAATTGTCTTGTATTCCTCATATTACATGTTGAATTCAGCTTCTTACTGGTTTAACTAAATATAATTTTAGACAGTGATAAATATGATAATCTAGAATTACTCCCAAGCTGTTCTACGACTCTGCCAACCATTCAAGTTGAAGTTTTTATTCATCACTTATCCTGTTAGATTAACTGCAGATGGCACAAGGGATATGTTTGTATATCAAATTTATTTAAGAGAATAAATGTCCAAAATCACTTTCACGTGTGGGCACCAATAACTTTCAACTTTCTGTGTTTCTCTATGGTCAGCATATCCTCCATTTAGTGTAGCAATAAAACATGAGGAACAGAAAGTAATAAAAAAAAATAAATCTGATCGATTAAATCCACTCATGGCATTCCCAAGATATTAGGTTCAGTCCTTACGACCAAAAAAGGACCAGGTGGAGGTGTGAGTTTGTGCTTCTAAGAAAAAGTAGCAAAGTGTTATTTGTAAAGGACATAATGATGTAGTAGTGAGGTTGACCTTTGACTTTTCTGTTAAGAAGCTGTGGTTTAAGCTCCTGTGATGAGTTTTAGCTGGTTATGAAACAGACTAAAATGAAAACTTAATCTGCTTTGTGGCCTAAAAAGTAATAGAGACTATCATTGCAAAGACTGATATTTTTCATGCACGGGTAGATGTCAGACGAGGCAATTAAAAGTGTTATATGTGAGTTAATGTGCTTGAATTTGGCAAAATTGTGGCCTATAACACAGTGGAAATATATGTGGCACTCTGACGGCTTTATAATATGCAAAGTAAGTGATCCTCACCTCCAGGGAAGAACCAGTCTGCATGCTGGATTATGGGCTCAATGATGCTGACGATCTGCAGGGACAGGGTGGTCATCATCTCTGTCATGTTCCTGCACAGAGGAGACAAAAATTACCCAGGATCACATTGAAACATTGAAATAAGACAGAAAAACATGTGGAAAAAGTAAAGTATACATACGGTTCAGTGTGTGTCCAGAGTAAGTTAGGCCCGAGAACAATCGCCATGTTGCCGGGGGTCATCTTGTTGGCGTCTTGGTACTCTGTCAGCTTTGCTAAGAATTTGATTAGATATCTGTAGGATGAAGAAATAAGTCAGTCACTTCTTCCCTTTTGTTAGAAATCATTTTAAAGGGATATTCCGGCGTAAAATTAATTTAGGGTCAAACACACTGAGTTAGACACCCCGTCGAGGACCTTATATGTACTGTTGATGAAGTTAGGTGCTGTTCTGAACATTATTTGTGGCGTTTTGGTTGAGTTTTGTGTGTGGCTCATCAGACCGCTGTGTATCGCTATCCTGCAGTCGTTACTAAAGTTGGTATAACTAGAGAAGCAAACAGTCGGCAATATTAATCTCTTGAGGGGGTGTCTAACTCGGCGTTACGGTGTGTTTGACCCTAAATTAATTTTACGCCGGAATATCCCTTTAACTTCAGCTTTAAGCTTATTGAAATACAACATAAAGTAGAGCTGACAGGCTTATGGCTAAACTCACTCACCCTGCACCTCCAACCAGAAGAGACAGCAGCCACTGGGACATCATCTTGTTACATTTAAAAGCCAAATAAATGTATAATAAGTGGATTTTTCAAACGTTGCACAGCAGATGATGATTACTGCAGCTGTAAAAGTCATCGACTGCCTGAGTCAATAGCCTGCAGGTGTTTATATTTGATTCCCTGAATCTCCAACTAGCTGCTGCTGCTGTTACTCATCTTGGCTGCAGGTGGAGCAGGTTACACTGAAACTCTGTGGTGGTACAAGGACTCTGTAATGGGATGAAACTGTCTGTGTGTGAGTTTCTGCACACTTTCATCATTCTCCTTGTCATTTTGGGGAGTTTCTGCTCAGCCTCTTTGAGAGCTTGAAAAGGAAAACGTAAAAACACAACATGGAAAAAAAGCAGAAATACACTTCAAGTGACCGACCTGAAGTTGTTCAAGTTGTCTGTGGGGAGTTTTTCACACGCTGCCATTAAGGCTTGTAGCCTTTTATCCATATCTTGGACGCTGCAGGAATGAGAAACCGTTAGAGCTGATTGTTGCTCTACTTCTGTGTAAATATCACCATTTTTCATTGTGGCAGCTCAAACCTGCTTTATCAGGTCTATTTTCAGTTCTTTATCTCAGCCAATGGCATAATTCAGGAGACTTCTTATAATAGGAAAACAGCGACTCACTTGGAAGCTTGGATCCATTCATCATAAAGTTCGGTGGTCATCAGCGGCTCAGGGAGCTCGCGGAGGTATGATTTCAGAGCCCCTTTGGATGAGAAAAACAGGTTTTTCAGCAGAGGGGAGGGTTGTTTTCTTTCCTCAGAGCACTGTCGAGGCCGTGCCCTATATCTCCACTCCCCTCCAGCAGGCCCTCGCAGCTAACGCAGCTGCCAGATTCAGATTGCTCAACACAGATTTCATGCTAATGTGTGAAATGGACAGCAATAACAGGATAAAGCCACGAGGACTGAGGGTGGATCTGTTCACCCCCTAAAAACTTCACACCATGGAAACAGGCTTTAGTAAAAACTCCTGCTTTCATCATAACTACATCTCATAGTTTGGTTTCCTGCCTTGGAACAACAGAGTGTAGGGGGTGTTGTTATGGAAAAGGGTATTCATGTGGGTGTAGGTCACCTGCAATGGCGTGTGGGTCTGAGGAATACTCCTGCACATCCAGAACTCCACAGTCCAGAGACGCTTTCAGCTTCTTCAGCTTGGAGGCTGATGGAGCCACTCTGAAGAGGCCCTGCAGCCCACACACAGGAAACACATAATCGTATGTAATTATCAGATCTGACATAACCTGTGAATAAAAACTGAGCAGAAGTAAACGACCCGGGATGAAGAACACAGCATATATACTGCTAGTTTTATTGGATTTAGCCCATTACTATAAAATAAGTGGACCCTGTTTGTGTATAAGTAATACCCCATTACGTTATTGTCGGTGCACTAACCAAAAACAACGAATAAATCAAAGTAACTCCAATCTTCCAGCCGTGGTGCTGCTTTATTTCTCAGAATTACAACCTCTTAAACACTCTTATTTCCTGTAGCAGAGACTTGTCCTCTCTTTATCTTTCCTGAATTTAATGAAATCTGAGTTTAAAGGTCAAGAAGATAAGAGCCAATATAAGCTTCCCAGTCTGACAGGGTGAGATAAAGTCAGACTCAATCTTTTCACTGAATTAAGGTTGTACCACAGTGCTGCTAGTTCAGGTGCATCTCGGAGATTATGTGTTTTTTTTTTTTTTAATCAAAAAGACAGACAATTAATTTGAGTCTTTCTAGAGAGAAATCTGCAGGTTGTGAACATTCAAGTGAATACATTTGTCTGGAAAGGATCCAGGAAGTGTGTTTTTTTTAATGAAGTAAACGCATAAATAAACTACAGTGACCTCTAGGGTCATTTTTAAGAGTTTGCTGCTATTTTCACATCAAAACAGACAAGCAATGTGATGCAGCATGATGGAGTCCTAAAGATTAATACCATCAGTGATGTAACCGTCTTTATTAAAGTACCAAATATATTGAAATTGTGCTAAAAATAAGCAAACAGGAATACAGTTAGTTCACAGCTGAGGTCCCTCACGCTGGCTGCCACATTTCATAAAACAGAGGAGAGATAAAGAAAAGGCAGCAGACTGCCTGTGAACTGGTTTAAAGAAGCTCAGCACTTTTAAATACTTTAATATCACAATTTTCTTTTATTAATTACAAATGAGACATTAGAGTGTGTGCCTCTTTAAGTTACAAATTAATAAAACATTTTTACTTCTAACGGTTTTCATTCAGTTCTGCAGGTAACTATCTACCTGAAGTAGCTTATACTTCAGAATAAAAGCATAGTTTTACAAGGGGGGAATAAAGCACCCTAAATGCAAGACTGAATAAATTTCACGATAAAAGCTACCAAAAAAACTGTTTATTAGAAAATGACTTCTCTGACGAAGTTTCAGTTAAACATTCAGTGATAAGGATAAATTATAAATCTGAATATTATTATAAATAGATGATAACATGTTAGATAATTATGTTCATTATTTATTTATTTAAGCTGTTTGAAGTTCAGAATTTTTCCATAAATATCAGATTAATATTGTTATGGTAATCCTGCGGTACAAATCAGATGTGTTGTTACTTCAGACAGAATTTCCGCACAAATTGTAGTCACAGTGATAAAGTAAGTGTATTATGAATATTATTAAAGTTTATTGGCCTAAGGAGAATTTGACAGCCGGCTATTATGAGAAGTAGACAGTTCCTCTAGGAGCATTAAAAAGAAATGAAGAAATGTGCTATCTACTTCAAAACCAATATCGGAGAAAGACAAAGCTATCTGAACGTTTTTAGCTGAAATACCCACCCCTGTGTGACAGTTCTGTAATGATGTGTGTGTGTGTGTGTGTGTGTGTGTGTGTGTGTGTGTGTGTGTGTGTGTGTGTGTGTGTGAAAGAGACAGAGAGCAGTGACAGCTCTCTGATATTTTGTTTGATAGGTGCTTGTGTGGGAAATGTCAGTCCAAGGCTTCAGCCGCCTACTACTGCACATTCAGCCAAGACCCTGAGTCCCTCATGTTGTGACATGCTGTTGAAAAAAAAACCCAGAAGCTTAACTGAAAACAAGCACTTTGTCCTTTAAATCGGTGCCCCTGTAAAAACATATAAAATCAAGCACTCAGATGAGGTTCGGTCTTATTTTAAGTTGCCCTTTAAAATGTTGTCACACTTATGGAAAGTCATTTTAATGTGTTGCCTTAACTGGTTGCACACACCTTGTATATACTGTTATATTTCTGTGTGTGTGTGTGTGTGTGTGTGTGTGTGTGTGTGTGTGTGTGCATGCCCTGTACCTCCTCCTGCATGCCACACTCCAGCAGCATGGTGACACAGGCTTCGATAGGGAAGGCGATCTCTCTCCCGCTAATATTCAGGTGCTCTTCCAGAGACTTTCCGAACGATGGTTTCTCCACCCACGCCTCTGCAACACGAAACAGCAGCTTGAATCGCACACAAACACAAACAAACCTACACAAAATCTCCTCTCCTCTTCAGACCAGTAACTACAAAGCTCTACTTCTGTGAGCCTTTATTTACGAAATTAAAACATTAATTCCTGACTGCATTTACCTCATCTCTACTTATGCCTAATGCCATGGAAAAAATTATAATGCTCCGGGACTCTGTTTGGTGTAACACTTGTTAAGGAGTCCATGTTTAAATATGAGGGTGGATAATTACAGCTTAACAAGATTGTTATGTGACACGTCAGGGCTATTAACTCTGTTACTTGTTCTCTTGATAATGCTTCAGGTGCAGTATTGTAGCAGATCCGTCTCACACGTATACGCACTCACACACACACACATATATATATATCTATATACACACACAGACACACACACGGTGAATGACTCACCTTGGTGAGCTTTAATCTGGGGCAGGATACTGTGAAGAATCTCTAATGACTTCCTGTGATATTCCGCTTGTGTTTCAATCAGCTATAGAGGAGGACATCAGGGGAAGAGATTATTATCGAGAATCATGCATGTGTGTATCATATAATTAGGTTATTTGATCTTTTAAAACGTTAATATTTCCTATGTTTCACTGGGAAATGAATTACCATATACGTTTAGGTATTTACTCAAGGGTGGACTTAGACTTTTTTAACTGTTGAGAACAAAATAGGACACAGATTTTTGCATGTGTGGCGTTACCTATGTCTGCACACACAATGAAAAGCATTAAACGGATATTCGTAAAATTAATTTAGGGTTAAACACACATAACACTGAGTTAGACACCCCCTTGAGAGATGAATGCTGCCAACTGCTTTCTTCTCTAGTTATACCAACTTTAGTAACGACCGCAGGATAGCAATATACAGCGGTCTGAGGAGCCATAAACAAACCTCAACTAAAATGCCACTCTATAGCCACAAATGATCATTTCTTCATGGAAATGCAATCAGACAGAACTACTGTGTCTGCAGAACAATATGATTAATATGGTGATTATTTCTTCAAGGAAATGATAAAAAGAGGCATCATAAATGTTCTTCCTTGAGCTGAGTCACCCCACAGCAGTCCGCATGGACCGGCCTGAGTCTCACTACAAACAAGCTGCCGCTGGAAGAGAGTAGGTGAGTTGTGTTTAGTCTCTTTGCTAAAGAAATTGGGCAAAGTTAAAAGGATGTTTGGTGGCTAATGCTGTGGCTGGGACACTATATGTACTGTTGGTGAAGTTAGGAGCTGTTCTGAGCATTATTTGTGGCTATAGAGTGGCGCTTTGGTTGAGGTTTTTGTGTGGCTCCTTAGACCGCTGTGTGTTGCTATCATGCAGTCGTTACTAAAGTTGGTAAAAATAGAGAAGCAAGCGGTCGGCAACATTAATTTTTCGGTGTTACAGTGTGTTTGACCCTAAATTAATTCATTTGTAAGTGCAGTAACATAACTGTGTTCATAGACAATGGTTTCTGGATGGGATTTTGAGGCAATGCGGTGAATTCCACTACTGAGTCATGTCTGTTTTAGTGCAGTACAGCCTTGCAGACCAAATATCTTGTTTCTTTGTGCGAAAGTCTTGCCTCTAAGAAAGCAAATAGCCAATTACAGTTGAGGATTTTAGGGTGACCACTGGGGTATGGCCACCTTCATCCGCACCTAGATCCGGCCCTGTATTCACCACATTTCCCATCTCATCTTATTTTAAGATTAACTATACTCACTGTCTGGAAGTAGTTTGCATAGTCTATTTCTTTGGCCACAAAACTGTACATGTCTGCTGACAGCTGATCCTGAAACAGACAGGAAGAGAGAAAACCAATCCATGAGAAATAATCCCACCCACAGAGAGCTGCAGTATCATCACGCCATTGTGGTCCATTTATGTCAGAAACATGCAGTAGGGGTATAAATCAAACTGAGAGCAAAGGGTTTGGAGGAGGAAGTAATATCCGAGTGGTAACTCACTCGACAAATCTCCATCCGATTGGCTGACTCCTCCATCTCCTCTCTGAGGGACTCAGACTTGGCACCTGGCTGCAGTGTGCTTGGGTGACTGGATGACTTCGACGACTGCTGAAATCTTTGGGCGAATGGATTAAAAAAAAAAAAGTTAGCCATGCTTGTATAACATGCATTCACAGCCAGAGTTTCCATTTTTAAAAACTAAAATTAAAAATAAGAGCAGCTTATTTTCATGCTCACCTTGTCCGAGCAGAGTCCATATCCAAGACAAGTTTCGCTAAGTGCTTCCGTTGTTTCTGGATGTTGGGAATGTCAACCTAAAATAGAAAAAGAAAACAGGTGGAGGATTAAAGTCAGCCTTGAGAGCAAGAGTGCAGCACTTTTATGTAAATGAAGACCATGTTCCCCTTGTAGTTTTATGCTAATAAAATAAAAATGCTGTTATCCAGTTCAGGGAGGTGTTATGGCTTAATTGGTGGATTATGTAAGAGCAGAGCAGGCTCACCTCGGCCAGCACATAGAGGGGCTCCACCACGTCTCTCTCGATCTGGAACTCAAACTGAATGAGCTCCTGAGCCAACTTCTCCTCCGTCTCCCCGCACATCTTCAGCATCTTACTGTTCGGGGAATGTAGAAGCACGCAGAGGCATTTATATGCAGTTATAATAAAGTCCAGGATAATTAAGACAGAGAGGAGATCAATAGGTGGGTCATTAATTAAAGATGACTGCGAGTGTAAACTACAGTGACCTACCCCAGGAGGGAGTCATCCCCTAACACTGCAGCCCCCTCCACCATACACTGTGCCAGCATCGTGAGCGGAAGTTTTTTCTGAATGGAGAGACGCTTTTATTAGACCCACATGATGAAATAAGTGCTAAGCAGCATCGTCAGTCTTATTCTCGGGTGTCAGCGTAGGATCATGATGGATGTGTGTACTCACAGAAGGTGACTTGACAGATCTCTTCTCCATATCAGTGCCCTGCTGACCCTGCAGGCAGGCGGTCAGCTTCTTGTGAGTGCTGTGTGTCACCTGCTTGACCAGATCCAGACGCTTCTCCACCTGGATGAGCACACAGACAAAGACACATCAGAAATCTCTCACGGTATCTCCACACTAACACCTGTATTCTTGCACAGACACGACACTGAACTATAACGACTGTCACCTCTCCTGCAGCTGCATAAATCAGCACCCAATCTGTCATAGTGGTGCACATTTGACAAACCTTTTTTTTTTATTTAATGTGAATCTTCTCGGAAAAAAACACAAACCAAGCCTGTTGCAGCAGTGTGCTGTTAGTTTCCTCATCCGACACCTACCCAACATTAAAAATAACTCAATAGATATAATAAATCTTGTCACTGATGGTCTTGGTTGCTTTTGTAGGACATAAAGAGGCATCAGTATTAATTTCAGTCTGTTTCATAACTAGCTAAAACCTCCTCCCAGGAGCTTTAAATAATAAATCAACAAATATTGAATAATTAACAAAATCCCAGACTCGCTGGCTTCGTCCAAACATAACCATGGCAGCAAATAAATCTGTCCTCTTTATGATAAACACACTGAGAAGAAAGTTGAGTCCTTGTTTGATTTTTTCAGGTAATACCCGGTGAAATCTCTGGAGGAACTACTCCCTCTCAAAAACAGCCATCAGTATCACATTATTAACACCTATTAATCCACCACAACAGGACGAACTGCTAAGAGACTCTCATTTAATCATGCGCCTGATTCGCAGGTGTTGTGCTTGTCTTTCCTAACAGACACACACGTATAGATGCACATTTACACCACGGCTTACCTGCAGAAGGTCCTCGCTCAGCACCTCTGTTTTTTCTGCCCTGTAAAGATAAAGTGAGAGATGGTTAGGGGATCAAGGCATGATCAGGAGCTGGTGCAAGCATGACAATCAGTGCATGAACAGCTTTTTTTTCCAGCGGATTCATGACCACAGCATTGAATTCTCTGTTAAATCCTTTACATCTGAAAGCGGTGACATGAATCCCTCCCTGTGAGTGTTCAGTATGCTGTGGTTTGAGGCTTTCCACCATGTGTCCTAATCATGGACAGTGTAAAACATGGATTTAGTCTAAGTGTGGTCCACTATTGTTGTCTGAAGCAGAATTGACTCGACCTCACTTTAAAGTCACTGTAAGGAGTTTTTTAATTGGTCAAGAGAGAGGCTAAAACTGATACTGATGCTGCTTCATGTTATTTAGAAGTAATCTAGACTATTTACAGAGAGGCCGACTTTTTTTGACATAATTTTCATAGAAAATGTCTGAAAATGCCTGTGAGGGGGTAGGTGTCGAATCAGATGATTGACAGCACTTGACCACAAGGAGGCACCAAATCCTTCACAAAGCAAAAGTTCCTTACATGAGCTTTAAGTTGACGATAAATTAGCCTCCTCACTAATAGCTACATGGTGGCCACTAGATAGTTAAGTCGCCTACACTTAAAACATCACTTAAATACATTCAAAACAGTGACTAAAAAGGGACATGTGGACAGAAGAGTTAGCTTTTCAGACCAAAGCCACGCAGCAGACTGTAAACATGTTTATTTTTGCTCTAAAGATGTGCTTTTGTAGTCAGCCTCAAGTGGACACTCGGGGAACTGCACTAAAGTGTGCCTGCTTGGTTTCCTCTGCTTCTTTGACCATCTCCAGTGGACACTCTGAGTACTGCAGTTTTAAGCACTTCTGCATCGGCCAAGGTTGCTGTTCAGTCCTAACGCAGGGCTTGACACTAACTTTTTTCAGAAGGAGCACATGTGCTCTGAAGTTGAAAAAGTAAGGAGCACACAAAGAACTTTAGAAGCACAATAAAAATTGATCAAATAATGTCTTTTGGTCACATGACATGGAAACTAGTAAAGAAAATGTTCAAAATTTGCCTTTAAATTTAACACAAAAACTGTATGAGAACAAATTAGGGAAATAAAGAGGTGTGTCTTATCGTCCGACCCTAGTACTATTATTTAAAATCTATTTTAGGTCAATTGGTGACATGACATCAAAGCTATTGAAGGGAAACAGCCTTATGAAAATTAAGAGGTGTGTCTTATCGTCCGACCCCATTGTCGCAAATGCAAGTGAAATGGTCGCACTGTCAAGTCCTGTAACACATGTCATATTGGTGTGCGTTTGTCTGAATGCTTCACAATAAAAATCCTGCTGCCTTGTATTGCATGCAGACCCATTCATGGATTTTTTGCTGATCATCGGTGTGGCAGCGCTCCCAAATAGGTGGGCTACATCTGTGCACCTGTCCCTTCGGACTACATGTGGGTGCACATGTGTTCGTGTGGCGGCCTCGCTGAGTCATGATGTAAGACAATACATAACAGCCACCTATAACAAGTTTATGATCAAGCAATCTATTCATGCTGAAGAGTCACTGGAGCGTCGCATCATCAGCATGAGCCAAGCAGGCGGGACATGCAGCAGCGAGCAAAGGCTAACAAATTCAAATATGCCAGTTCACACTGAGGAGCATCACACCCCTCTGTGAATCCAGCAGACTGGGGACTTAGCCAAGACTGAAGGAAAGGGCAGAGCTTCACTGCCGCTGAGGCAGATAAAACTACTCATCCGGAGTTCTGAATGAGCCATAAGCTCAGAAAAAGAGCAACCACAGGATATTATGAATGTATGGTGTCAGCTCAGTTCTCACAGCTTAAAGTTGAAGACTTAGCTTCTTTTACAGTGAGGAGATTTACCAAATAGGCTTAATGTGCCTTTTGGAATCATTAAAAAAATAACTTGGGGCGAAATTTGTTATACATGGATTAATTTGTCAAGGTTTCCTTTGAAGAAGCTTGGGCACAACAATGCATCTAAAATAACAATCAACCCATCAGGACTAATCAGAGTTGGGGATAGCATGTACTTCCTGCTGTAGACTGGCAAGGGAGGTACTGCTGAGGCAGACAGTCTGACCTCCCTAAGTGATTCAAAACCAGATCTGCAGACCCCCAGCGACCACTCGTTGGTGCTCGTAATCTCTCAACACTTCCCCTTCCTGTCTGTACGATCCCTTCCTGCTATTGTGCCCAAATCATGCCCACGCCAACAGAGAATAATAGCTTTCTTTGTATCATTTATTGAAAAACTCGATCTAAATTTATCTTACTTTTGACCGAGAGAATGGAAAAGACCTCGCTTTGTGCTCTATTATTCATCAGCCAGACAGAAATACATCACCGGCGCGAAACTGAAATGCTCTTTCCATTTAAGTCTCGTCACCGAGTGGGTCAAATACAGAACAAGCTGTGGCTCTGTGGTGCCCATTGCCATCCCACTGAAGCAAATCAGAAAAAATGGACTGTGGATCATCTGTTACATGTTGACGTGTCGTTGTGGTTCCATGTAACATACACATATGTTGTTACCGACGACAGAAAGCCAATAATGTCAGTTATTATCATCCCTGATGTCAGTGCCAAGATGTGAGCATGAAGCCATGGGAACTGGGTCAAAGCATGTACCAATGGATCTAATCACAGCCAGTCTCTTGGAAATCTGCTTTGCTCACTGAAGTAGGAGGGAAAATACAGGAAGTGTGTGAGTGCACACTTGCCTTAGAGAGAGAAAATGACAGCGGGGTGGGAGATTTCTGGCGTGATTTGTGAGGATAAGTGTGATCGCAGATTGCTGATTACATGACAAAGGGGGATAAAAATAACCCAAGCAGGGCACAAAAGTTTGGCTCAGTTTTGCTGCAACACCCCAGCAGCGTCTGACATTCTCTCCATGTTTAAAAAAAAAGGCCCGAGGACGGAGACTTACACATGAATCCCACGCTGAGTGTGTACCCTTAAGGTGCACGATGCAGCTGTGAACTTGTCGCAGTCGATCTGGCCTCAGATTGGCCAGTTGAGTGTCTCTTGAGAGCATATGGCGACGAAAGGACCCTTATGGGGTGCAACAGCACGGATGGGAGAGGAGGATGTGGAGTGGCCTGGTCTGTTGGTGATGTTTTGTGCAATATTTGAAACAAGCTCTGTAGCCTCGCTGCATGTGTCAGAAATTAAATAACCTGAACCAGGAATCCTTCTCAGCAACATAAAGGCATATGGTACAAATTTTAGAAATCGTGAAAGAGTTCTTGCAAGGCAGCAAGCTGAAAAATGTACCCCAACGGTCCAAATCCCCATTGGCTAGTATTACAGGGAGTGTATGTCAGAACTGTTCATATTTACGATTGAATTCAACGTCCAACTCAAGTGAAGATCAGCTTGAGGTTTACAGTCTCATCCAAAGGGCCTCCTGGGAACAGCTCTTCAGACATCATAAAGAACTTGATGTAAGTCCAGCTGCCTTTTGGATAAGCCTTTGAACTGGATCACGAACACAGTTATCAGCTAATGTAGTTCTGTTTGGCTTCTAATGTAATGGGTCGGTGTTGCTAGCTGCCTGCTAGCTACAAATCTGCTAATTTGAGCCACTAAACCTCGGCCAACTTGTGATGCTAAAGATGCTAAGATTCTGCAAACTGACAAGTAGAAGCAAATAAAACAGTCAAAACTGTTGATGCAATGTTTGGTGCTGAGTGTTTATATGCCGACAACTTAATCTCCATTTGCTCCGAACTGCCAAACCACACTGTCCAACAAGCTGTTGTAATCTGCACCCATCTCCATTCTCGTAGTTTAGTCTCATAGAAATGGCTGATTATTTAGTTGTCTAAACTAACATTTAGTTTAACAGGCCATTAGTAGCAGACATGAAACTTCTGCACCTCTCTTTACTAAATACTCAATCTCACCGATGTACAAACTCAATGTCTTTCACTCTTGCTTGTTTGTCCTTAAGTTCATCAATAGGAAACAAGACCTTCCTGACACTTTACGAAACTTTTTTACCTTTTCATCTGGCCTTCACCCGTACTCAACAAGATAAAATGGCTATCTTCAGTTACCTTTCTGTCAAACTTCTTGTCATGAGTCTAAAATCACTTTTAGAGAACCAAAAATATGGAATGATCTGGATGCATCTCTAAAATCAACATTATCCTTCAAATCCTTTAAAATATCATTGATATCACATCTAATCATGTCTTAAACATGTCATTATCTGTCATGTTCATATTTCTTTTCTTTTTATGTATAACTTTTAATTTCTCTATCTCTGGTTGGGATTGTTGATGATTAGTCTATGTTCTATTTATGACAATTTGTATATGTCCCTACTCATTCTTATAACCTGTCTTAGGCCTGGGCGATTTGGCAAAAAAAATGATCACAATATATTTTGTCGTATGGTCCGATCTCGATTATTATCACTGTTTTTTTTAAATTGCCACTTTTAAAGCATCTGTACTAAAAGCTATGGAAACTAGAGATTAGTTCAGCATTTTATTAACGTACTAAGTAAATAACAGAGCAAATTAGGTAAAACACACTTAGACAAATATAAAAAAAACATTTTAACTCAACAGTGCAACAAATGTAGATTAACACTTAATAATACAGCGAATTAGTTTACAGTCCTGAGTGATTTTGAAAAAGACCCAAAATAAACAAATCGCCCCCTCAGAGATAATGAAGACGCTCTAAATGTAAACATTAAATGATGTAAATGTAGATGATATGATTGATCGCTGCTTTGGTCTGATGGCTGCACCGCTAGTTGTGGCTAAACTGCTAATGCTACTCATGCCGTCAGCAGTGGCAAACTGTACAGACTCCACTCACATTTTCATGCTTTCTGCATAACCATTCAGGAAGAACGTCTTCAAATGATTAAACAGATTTGTCGTATAGCCGATTTTTGAGGGCATCGACCGCTGACATACCTTGCACATCGGCTTAATTGCTCAACGTCACGCTAAATAACCTTTCTTCTCAACAACGGCATCTTTGTAGGATGACTAAAAGTCACGGCTGATCTATTTTGTTGCCCTCAGCACCGCGTTTATCTCCATGTTTGGTCATTCTGTTTCCTTCTCCTGTTTACTTCTCTGGTAACTTACAGAAGTAGAGCAGGAGAACCTCAACTCTGATTGGCTGTTGTGATGCATATTTCTGCTATATTTGACCGAGTAAATAAGCTCACAGCTGAACACCGTGATCGAACTGAAATTTCTCACGAACATTGATCACGATCTTATAATCCCCCAGTCCTAACCTGTCTATGTCCTGATTACTTTGTTGTTTGCATCCTGTGCCTTTACTGCCCTGATGGGAGTGGAACTCTGTATCAGCCCATTGGCTTCTTTCCCTCCATGCACCTTGTTTTTAATTTGTGCTAAATAAATACAGATAGTTGTAGGGCTCCTTTTTTGAGGCATCAATCTTGTTTCTGCTGATCTAGTCTGCTTTTATAGATCACAAAAAGGCATTAGTATGAATTTCACTCTTTTTTAGAAATGTGAAAAAACTCCTTACAGGAGCTTTAAGGTTCGAGGGAATGCAGATACCAAACGGCTGCACGAAAGAGACAATTCCTTCATAGCATTCACTCTCCACAACAAGGATATGAAAATTCAAGCCCAGACATCTGGCTTTCTCACTGGCCACAACTGATGTGGCCATTATGATCCAGACTTCAAAGAGGTTTTGAGCCTATCTTCAAAGACAGCAGACCGCCTTGTTCTTGAAGCTTGTTTGTTTTCAGACGGTGGTATTTCCTCTTAGGAAAGCAGTATCATACATAATCAGCCTGCGAGGACACGAGGATGAAATAGCGCCGCGTTTTCTGAAATACAGCGGGTATTGAGGTTGATTGGCTGGAGAAGAACCTGATGTAAAGCTGTGAGATTTCAGAGGTGAGCAGAGGAATTCATCTCACCAAACAGTGTGCAGAATGAGTCTTTGGAGGAAAGTAAACACGTGGGAGAGTCAGCAGCCATGTGGGCGGTGTGTTCACGGAGGGGAGGGGGGGTGCTTTGCAAGGGTTGTGCCAACCATCTGCCACTTCGCAGGCATCCCTTTACCTGATGATGACTTAATACACAAACGTGCACGCGCTCACGCAGACACACATGCACATTCACACTTCTATAAATATCAGGATTATTGTAAAAGTTGCCGTTAGCTCCCAGAGCATCACCAGACACCGTTTTGAAAGCAGGATTGCTTGTTTCTTCGTATCAGCAGTGAGCTGGAAATCTGTGCAATGCAAATGTGAAGGTCTGAAGAGCCCGGGGGAGGATTAATTAGTTGAAACAATATTTGCACAAAGAGATAAACTGTCAGACTTTGAATAACATTACCAGAGTGTTGATAAGAGGGAGGGTCTGAATCTGGTGAGGACATCTGGACTCGTGTATTCACAGCTGGTCAAAGAAAAATGTCATTTTAATGTGAATATTTTCCCAGAGACCTCAAACATTCCAGGTCGCAGTAGTTCCATAAAGCCTGAAATAAAATGTGTGTTCAAAATACCCCGCTGACCATTTCAGTCACACATTTTGCGCAAATATGTCTTGTATGATAAATATTTCTATCTTAAGATATGTTAATGTTGGAAACCATCGTGCTCAGCCCCAGAGCAATGTGCATGGTTTATGAAAGCATGCATAATCCATGTCGACATAATCAAAATGTGATTAGAATAATATTTGTAGACTTGAGCATATTGTGATAATAGACAGCGAGCTAACTGTTGGCTGCAGCACTCTACAGGTCCACCTCAGACCTGCTGAAAAAACAGGAAAGTGGTCGTTCTCGGGTTCGTTCACACAGCAAAAAGCGAAAGTGCTAACTCTGAAGAGCTGTGCTGGATGCTAGGTCCTTCGCTGCGAGGGGAGGGTAGTGGAGCAGAATGGTGGCCCTGGGCCTCAGCAGGGCACCGCACGGCCTGGAGCGCTGGCATGAGATCTAGTCAGCCACACACACACAGTCACAGACACACACACACACAGCAGTGTTCATGCTCTCTAAATATCTCTGTTTAATGCTTTTTTTTTCCCGCAGACCTTCGCCGTGCAGACGCATCTAGGGGCCCACTCAGTTTCCTCCCAAATGACAAGGCGGAGGGGCTGATGGGATACAAGGTTACTAAAACAGAGAAACCCACTTACTGTAGTTGTCCAGCAAACTAGGTCACAGTTCTGTTAAGTATGCAAGAATAACTGTGAGAGGAGTGTACGCACACGCGCACACGAAACATGCGCGCACACGCGAAGAGAGGGAGGGAACGAAAAAGGCAAGAGAGAGAAAGAGAGGGAGAGATAGAGGGAGCCTGCAGCTTGAGCGGCGTCTCACTTGAAACACAAGCAGTGAGTTATCTCTAATAACTTTATTCATGGTGAATAATCTCCACAAGAAGCTCTCCGCTCTGTGACTGAACAGTGTTTTTACACTGCCGAGCACAAACAGGCCTCACCTGGACGATGCCAAATGTCAAGGAGGAAATTCAAGTCAACTAATATAGCATTCAACATCATCATGAGCATCAATTCACCACACAAAATAATCAGTTTATATTTTTTGATTGATGCTTCCTCTTTATGCCATTGACATTCCTGAGAGAAAGGAAGAGGGTATACTGACAGGAAGTTGCGTTCACTGTAGTTATGCCACATTATTCTCACTAACAGGTGATATTGCTCTGAATATGCAGGAGTCAAGTGTATGAACTCAGCCTCAGAATGCATGGCAGGACTCTTTCACCCGTACTTATCGGCTCGTTCCCCAAGGTCCAGCTCACTGCGCCTGCTGTCCATCCTACGCACATGTCTTAAGACTTGAGGTGATTGTGTTTTCGAGGCCATGGCACAGACCTTGGGAATTCTCTGTTCACAGACTCTTTTGAGTCAGAAACTCTGGCTGTCAGATTGTTGGTCTTAGTCACGTACATCTACTGGCAGTAGGTGATACTTCAAAATAAAAGCACAGTTTTACAGTATAGGAATGAAAAAGGGACCTAAATGCAAAACAATTCAAAATAAAAGCACAGTTTTACAATGTAGGAACAATAAAGCAACCTAAATACAAAAAGTTTCAAAATAAAGCATGGGTAATACCCTGCAGGATTTCATGACGCAGTCGCCTGCACCAGTCTGATTAGCTGCACCTGTATGCTTAGCTCTAAAGCAGTAACTCAAACTATAGAACCTACTTATATTATAAATCAGTTTGAAGCACTTTTGTCTTGTGATTTAGTCTGTATTTTTTAGTGGAAAGCCCTGGTATTAAGTGCAGCAGTGGTTTGATTTTCAGTCATGGCAGCAGCTGGAAGCAGCAGGACACAGTAGCTTAACTATGGTGTGCCAAAAGGGACAAAACACCATGTGATTAAAAAGAAATTAAGTTTTACCATCAACAGCCCCATTAATTAATCTATTTGGACAGGCATATCTCTTTGTGGGTCTTGCACATAATTTTTAATATGTCATTTTAGGATTCATTTTTGGTCTCATTACACGGCTGTTGTCTTAAAACTGCTCTACAAATGAAGCCTGTCTATTTATTTATTTTTATAAATTTTAGTTTGAGTGTGTGATCCACTACTCTGTCGACAAAATATTGATACCAGGAGGTAAAAGCTTGAAATAAAATGATACGTATGATGGATATATAATTCCTGCCAATATATGGGGCCAATAAAGTGACGCATCAAGTCTACGATGACAGCTTATGCCAACAAGCTTCAGCATGTCTGCAGTATGAAGGTAATTTGAGGTGTCAGACACATACAGCAGACACATTACTCAGTGTCTATATTTGAAAGAGGATGCATCTATCATTTATGAGAGAATTAAATGTTGTCAGGTATTGGCTTGAATCCAATGTTGTGCATCTCTACTTGTCAGAAAAGAGCTCGATGATTAAAATGTACTTTTCTACTGCACTATTCTTACTTCCCCTAATATGCAGACTTGTAAACAGACTTAAAAACAAGCTTCATGAATAATTTTACTGCACTTATTCTGTGTTTCTATTAGTACAGAGGAGGACCACATCCTGGAGATATTACCGTTACATAACTTAAATTCAACTTAACAAATAAAAGTGTCAAAACAATCCCAATGGCATCGATGAAAAGTACTCTGTGGACCCTCTCTTATTCCTCATGCCTCCACAGCTGGAGTTGCATGTGATTCACTTGGTGTATTTCAGTCAGGCCCTGAGGTCACTTCCTGTTGGGAATGAGCTTATGAGCAACAGACTGGGTCAACCCCAACATCAACACGGCTACAATCAAACCCTTTTTAATAAGCATGAGATCAAGGAGGGGGTCGACAAGTTCCTCTAGCTGCAAATGAGTCTGCTGCGATTTCCTCATTTCTTGAATATGAGCTTGTTCGGTGCTGAATCTGCAGTGAAGCACAGAGACAGGGGCCCTTTAAGAGGGTAGTCTTTTGAGGGAATCAGCGACGTAGAAAGAGAAAGGCAGCGCTTCTGTCAGATATTACATCATCTCTCTTTTGATGGCCAAAATGGCTCTTTGACAAAGGCTCTTTATCACTAACTGGAGTTAGTCTGATGTCTCTGCGAGGTACCGACGGGGTTATGGGAGGGTCAGCAGCATAGACTTCTGTTTCTAACCAAACTTTTCAAATGAAGACAAGTTCTGACTCATTTCTGATGACTCAAAACTACTTAAAACTCTTACCATGACAGGGCCTTGATTTGTTTAATAACATGCTGACGGTGTTCAAGGTTTTAACAATGTGATCAGCCAGAAAACTATACCCCAGTGAACCTGGAGGAGCAGTGATTCACCTGCCCTGTGAAGGCCACTTGCTCCGAGACTCCACGGCTCTGTCCTCATCTGCCAAGCCAGCAAATAATAGCAGCGAGGAAGAGGAAGGAGTGAGGGAGAGAGAGGGAGAAAGAGTGAAAGGAGGGGGAGAGGGGGATAGCTGCATTGGCATTCAACAGGGTTGCCTACTACATCTCCTGTTACCTGTCAGCTACCATATGCTGTTTAATTGTTCTGCACACGCTCTTGCAAAGAGGTGCATGTGAGTAAATTTCGTTCTGAATGTAAAAGCAGGAACAGAAGATTCAGACATGCATTAAATGATACATATATTATCAAAGTATTCATCAGATTATCACATTAAATCATCTCTGGAACTGTAAACATACATACGTGTGCACTATTGTTGTTGTTTATATCCCTTTTTCTTTCTCTGCATCTCCCTTTATCCTCTCTTTGAACCCGACACAATCTCAGCAGATGACAATCCCACATGAGTCTGGTTCTGCTCAAGGTTTCTGCCTGTCAATAGGGAGTTTTTCAGAGGATCAGAGTGGGTCTAATCTTAATAATTGGACCCAATCTTGTCCCACCTTGATGCTGGGTATATCCTAGACCAGCCCTCTTTGTTGATCATCTTGAGATAATATTTGTTATGAATTTGCAGTGAATAATTAAAGGTTGATTGATTGATAATAGAATAACAAACACTTATAAGTCACCCTTAGATTTGATGTGGACAGCAATGTTCCTCTACAGCAGACATTATTTAGTTCTTTATCAGTCTTGTGAAAGCAGACATCAGCAAGTTCAATCATTTCAATTCAGCTATTTTTCTTTAAATGCCATTTATCGCCTAAAAAAATCAGCCCAACCGACAAATTAATCTATTTTTAGTTATTATAATCATATCTTTTAATCTTCGTGTCTTTATTTAAGATTCCTTGATAGTCCAAAAACTGCAGTAAACAATTTTTTTAACCCACTTATTTTCATTTTCCAATTTTTTCAATATAAATATTGTTAATTAATTTCTATTAATATTTTGTGTTCAATGTTTGAGCACAAAAAAAACAACACAAACTAAACATGCACCGATAAATCAGCCGGCTGATCGATCAGCGCCGATTTTCTCAATTTTGGGGGATTGGTAATCGGCTGATCCTCACACATAAAACCGTTTTTCTTATCTACCTCAGCAAAGGTCTGAAAGTCAGCCGTTGTAGCTTTTTGTTTTGCCAGAATGACAGGCCCACCCACCAATTTAGTTTATCCTGAAGATTATTATTTTACTAACTTCCTCAAACATTGTGATTTCCTTTATTTGTAAAAGCAAAATACTGCTGTGCACTTCATTTGGTAAGAGGCTCAAAACAGGCCTGCAGTGTGACCTGTTGTGCAAGTATTGTTAATTTTTAAAATGAGGAAAATAAAAGACTAAAGGAACTGATATAATTTAGTAGTTTGGACAGCAATATTTTGAACTTTTCATTTATATTTGAGAGAACTACCTCATGTGCAGTTAAAACAAACACAAAAAGGTTTGTATTGTTTCACAAGTATTGTTCAATGTTTTTCATTAAAATAAGATTGGAGCATCGAAGGTGTATGTTGTCAGTTATAAAAAAAAAGGTATCAGCGGGTCAAGCTCTTAAAGATCGGTGGTTGGCAAGAAAATTGTCATCGGTGCACCCCTAACACAAACCCCTCCTTTGTGCGAACCTACTTTTTGACAAACCTCATTCTGACTCTGGTTGAAGGAATGGGCTACTATAAAACACATTAGCGTACAAATTTGACACTTGAGCAAACCATAACATGCACAAACATGTCCCGTAATATTGGTCCTTTGTATCTTACTCTTTTAAGCTCTTCCTATGGATCTTTTGTCACCGCAAGGCTGGCGCATGAACTCGCTCCTGACACATTCACCTCCTGCATCACAATGCCAGATGGAAGAGAAAGAGAAACTACAGAGGGGGGAGAGACTATGTGGGAGAGACAAAAAGGCATCTGCCAGCCCACAAATGGGTTCCATTTTCTTATAATTGCATCGTGAAGTGGTGAGCTAAAGCCTGGCCCAGAGGCATGAACAGGAAGAACGCCATTATCACTCACTAGTCATACAGGTGAGTGATGCAGGGGGTGAAGATGGATAGAGACGGGGAAGGAGATTTGTCAAGAGTTAAAGGCAAGAGATAGAGGTGTCCTTTATATTTACTTCTCTTTTATTTGTGATATTGACTTATTAGACTGCATGGAGCCTTAAAGACTTCTTTCGCTGACTCCTCAAGCAGGATGTCCTAGACCTAGATTGGGCAGTGAGTTGGGAATTGAGAAATAGGTCAAGAGAAATGGAGGGTTGGAGCTTGCTGAACCAAGTAATTTCTCCCTAGCTTGTGCGAGGGCAACAAAAGCACAAAGCTATTTAAGCATAGACGTTTAAAACTCAATGGTGTTTAAAGGAGACCTAAATCAAAGCTAGCTTATGTTAGCAAAAACACAGCACAAACAAATACGATCGCGGACATCGTTTTCCTCGCCTTTTTAAAGAGCTTTCACACCCTCCTGTCTCTCCCACTCCACCACAACACATCCCTTTTCGCTGTACAGTATGCATGGCTGCACATCTTCCAGTATGAAGTCTTGCTCCTAAGAGGTGATTGGTCAAACTGGGGATCACATGACAGGGGTCCCACCCAGGCAAGAAGCAGCAGCAGCAGCAGCAGCAGCAAAAGAGGCAGCAGCAGAAGCAGCAGCCTTGGAGAGGCAGAGGGATGCTGACACAGCACACCTGATCGCCAACCCCCCACTGAAACAACCTTCAGTCTCCATCACACATAAGACACATGTCAATGCTGTCAATGCAGAAAAAGACTCCCTACACACACGCAGCATCCCACACACTGGTTCTTATGATCAAAGTCATATCATTTCCAGCCCGGCAGAGGGCTTCATGTGGATTTGTTGAGGAGCTGTGGACGGGTCTGTGTTATTAACAGCTCCATCGGGACAGCAAGGGTTACCAAAGGTCAACTGCTCAAACCAGCAGTATAACCCTCAGTTCACTCAGACGCAGGGTGAGTTTGACTCAGCAGAATCACATCTCTGAAACCTCGGTGACTGCAAAAATGAGCAAAACTGATCTGTGAAAATGTCGCTGATGGCTGCAGCATGTACACCGCTCTCTTAAAATTGAAAAGTGTAAAAATTAAAAAGACTCCTAAAGCATCTTCGTGTCAGTCTTCGCTGCATGATTACGCCCCATGGGGTGTGTTCAGCCGACGTTAACAAACCATGATGCCGTTCTGCTCTGTGCAGGAAAGGAGTAAGTCATGTGTGGCGTGAAGACAGCATTACAAGTGATAGTATGAGGCACACTGGAATATGGTAAATAACTGTAATGGGATTTTTATGCAGGAAACAGTAGGAGCCGTTTGAAGCATTAAATGAGAGGGTAAAAGTCAGTTGGGGGGTGTCATTGTTTTAAGTTTCCCTTTCATGTGCAATGTGAAACAATAGCACCGTGTATGATTAATATTATTGTTAAATTACAGGAAAGAGGTTCCCAAACTTTGCAATGCAACAGGATCCTGTGCAACATTTGCATCTTACAAGGACTTACTTTCTGCAAAACCTCTTAAAATTACTTGTAAATTATTGGAAAACTTAAAAAACTCAACAAATAACTTCTTCAGGTTTTCTATAACTGTTAATATTTAACAGTCTTTTTAATTTCTTTCATTTAATACCTTTATATTATGGTTGTAAGTCTTTTATTAGAGCACATTTAGGCACAGTTTGGCCATTGCTATGTGCTGTACTACAGATTTCCTGTACTTGTTTTGGCTCTTTCCATTAAGTTCGATGTAAACAGGAGGTTTTTCATGGTTGCAAATGAGTTACAGGTGAGTCTAATCACATGGTTTGCTTTTCTTTTAAGACATTTTTCCATTCAAAGAGTCAGCAAGGAGCTAATTTTCTGTGGTACAGCACCTCTGTGTCACTCATCTAGTGGCCTCTCAATCAGGACAGACTGGTATGGTATGTATTTTTGATAGACAATAAAAATTATCCTTAATGCTGAAGTGTACAATGTTTAATAATACCCAAAAAAGTATCTTGAAATGCTATAAGCTACTGTTTATGTTGATAGATAATTTGTATTTTTGCGCAATTCCCCACCTCTTTCGCCACTGGCATACAAAGCTTTTTGTGCTTGCAATAAATCCTGATTTATACTACTGCATCAAATCTACGCCATAGGAAATGCTGAAAGTCCTGTACCTGCACAGAAGGGTATAAAAACAGCCTGATGTGCAACTCTGCAGACCACAAGCCCTGTGATTGGTCTGCTGAGTAGCATCATGTTTTCTCATTCACAACATATCTGCCATACATTCCCCGGACGTCTCCTCTTTCTTTCTTAGCACTGATCAACTGCTGCTTGACATTTATCAGCTCCAACTTCAATATAACCCTCTCTGATTCAGTCTCTATGGATTCCTGTGCACAAACAGGCTGCAAATGTGGCTGGGAATTACACTTAAAAATGAGCATTCCTGCAGAGTATTGAAAAGTGATGCGAACAATCCATTGCACAAGTAGGATACTGTAGAATACTGCAAGTCAGCTGTGGTGAAGAGTCAGTATAGAAGTCTAAACCATGCTCAAAGGTCCACTCAGAAAAAAAAAAGCAATGACAGGAGCTTTAAGAGACCCCTTTAATGTAAACATGCCCATGCATGTGTCTGACCTGCACTAAAAACAAAGCTTCAGTGTGCAAGGACACACAGATCAAAATAAATATGCATGTAAATACATAATGTATGCACACGCTTTTCTCCTATATGGTCAAGGCTATAAAGGGAAATGGTGCCGTACGTGCTAACTTCACAAGGCTCCTCTTTAATCAGCACAGCAATACCTCTGTAATATCAGTGCAGGATAAAGTATTGAGGCAGAGAAAAACAACAAGTAATAATAAAGAAGAACAGCGTGCTGACCTTTAGGGAGCACATACTCCTCCAGACTTCTATTTTCTTAGCGCCACAAAAACACCTTTGATAGACCATTTGATCAAAAGCACCTTATGTTACCATGATTTTGTATAATTTCACTAACAGGAGGCAAACTGCACGACTGAGAACTATTGGTAGCAGGCACAATATATGGCTCCTTTTTTTTTTATTCCAAGAGGGATTTGTGCGATCTTGATCATTCTTGACATTGAACTCGCACAGATGGTCCATAATGCTCAGAATGCTGCAGCTCTGGCTGTTCCTTTCTTTCATGAGTACCACTGTCAGCCCTGTGTTTGACACCGGTCAAGGTCTCCAGAAGGTTATAACATGTCTTGAACCAAAAGCAAATCCAAAGTGTCCCACATACTGCAAATTTGCATGGAGCTACATATACAGATTGTTGTGACTTTTCAATTATTCTTTGATTTGATGGTTTTGAGAGAGGCGACCCAGGCTGTGATCAGTAGGAGTCATTAGCAGGGGGGGAGCAGGATGTTCAGGGGGGTAATACTGTTGCTCATTATGTCTCTGTGGTTTGTGCAGACCACCTCAGCAGGTTGCTGCTCCTGCTCTTAAGACAGACAGCTTGGGAAAACAGCCGAGAGTGAGGTTGAAAATTCTACTCACAACAGCACCGGCATGCATTACATGTGGGAAGTGCTTTCAAATAAGGCTGTACCGCCAAACGCAGCCCGCCTGCCCACACACACATCCAGAATCACACCCACACACGCGCTAATGAGTCACATAGAAATCGAGTGGAGATAGAAAAAGCAGCCTGATGCACAGTGATAGCACAAACTGGCCTGCAAGGTGTGTCCCCTTCCTTGCTTAGTGTACGACACGCATGCAGCCTTGTAATAATAATGACCCACACGCCACCTGGTCCTAATCCTCCTCCTTACAGAGCAGAGAACACCTCCTGGCCTGGCACTGCATGTCAAGCTGCTCAGCCTCCCTGTGAGGTGAATAAACAGGGTGTGTGTGTGTGTGTGTGTGTGGGGGGGGGGGGGGCAGTGATAACCCCTATAGGACCTGTGTAAAAGGTCACAGCCTCTGTTTCTGCAGATGGGAGGGGATTCCAGAAACATCAGCTGCAGGGTAAGCACAAAACATAAAGGAGAGGGCAGGAATACCCTCCCATGTTAACCCTTCATTTGGGTATTGTGCATCTGTTTTTTTAGGGGATTGGATAGAGAAGTATATTCAAGAGTGGGGTTTAAAAATGAAACTTAAATTAACAGAGGAGTATGTCAGATAAATCCCAGGTGCGACCTTCAAGAATACGTGCACTTGATAACCCACGCCTAGGCTAGGGGTGCTCCCCTGCTCACAGCTGATATTACTGCGTAATGAAAACATTGCGCCTTTTTTTTCCTCATTTTCCCTCACGTCGCAGCCCACACCGCATCCGTCTGCATCACGTTCACCTATTGACAGGTTCCGTGACAGGAGGTAAATGTAATCACACCCAATCCTCGCAGATGCTTGTTTCTCATGCTCCACGGGCGGTACCTCATCTAAATAAGGGGGCTCGTGTCTGTGCGGTGTCTGTGACACTGCGATTGTCTATATTTAATGGATTTCCGTGGGCAGGTTGCACTGGGGCAATGCGCCTACACGCTGCGGTAGCTGTTCCAATGGACATTACGCGTAGGAGAACCAAAGGCGTTTTGAACATGGAGTAGTCTTTTGTTCCCTTGAATACATACAATCCCACTGACCGTTGTCTCTTTCTTGCATTAAGGCTAATAACAATAAATCATTAATCATATTTGCATGAGTATGATTCGCATCCTAATGGAGTCATTCAGGGGGTTTCTCTTTCCTTTCACTTGGCCCGGCAAGTCGCTCTAACGCATGGAGAGGCTTTGCTTACCTTCCCACCGTTTGGTTGGCGAGCTGTCGCATCCGATTGAATTGCTTCTTCATCTTGTATTTTCTGCGTTAACACCTACAGGGGAAAATATTCCGCATTATTTCTCGCAATGTAACGGTCCCTGCTCCACACAGGCGCAACACAAAATCCGATCTTCCATGTCGTCCTTCCCTCATCGCAGACTGCGGACGCTGAAAACTTCTATTCCACCTTTTACATATTTTCAAACCAGATTTTCTTTTCTTTTTTTTACGTCTACATTTGCCCCACAGCCTGCGCAGGGATGCTGGACCAATTCACCGCGGGCACTCACAGGCAGACAGCGACAGCAGTGACAAGTAGCGGCTGCGCAGCAGTGCAGTCTGGGAAATGTAGTCGACGCCTTGAAAAAGCCAATCTTGCCGGGTTCCTCGAGGTGTGATCACGCAGACACGTTTGTTAGAGGCTGATTTTGTCAATGAAAATCACATTAATTCGTCTGGATTATGGTTTCTTATTACAATTTTGAAAATATCATAAATGGTTAAAAATAATTTCAGCAAAGTGTAAGTGCTGAAATACGCCAGAATGAGGAGCTACACCTCTGCATGATCAGAAAAAATACACATTTAGTGAACATTGACAATAAAACTACGGGATTTATTTCTATTGGTGTTAAAATGTTTTTGTTTCAAACTGTTTGTTTCACATGCAAATGTTTCATTTAAATAAAATAGCATTACTTGATTTTCTTTCACATGACGCCCCCTGAATTGGTGGGAGTGTCACTCTACGTACAAAGGTGGGAGTAACATCCAGAGTCTTCTGCTGTCTGAGTCAGCGAGGTCAACTGGTGCCATCTAGTGTTTTTTATACGCCAATGCATCAAAAATGTCCTAATTAGCATCCTGGGTGGGCTGACTCAATTAAAAAAACTACAAGCTTGTGAACAAATACTGTAGAACAAACCAAAATCACATATTAATCTTAAAGTTATGGACTTTCTGGAGGGATTTCAACATGGCTATGGTGGTCTTAGTTGTAAGTCTTGGTATGATGCACATGTCTGGCTCTTTTTATGCATGGAGGTTGAACCAACTTACAAGGACACTACAAGTGTTGGGGGCGCTATGGGGCCACGTTTTGCAAAAGTTGAGAGATTAATATGCCTTTATTCTCAGCTTAGGCCTTAAACAGTCTTGTGCATATTCCAAAATATGGTTAATTTTGTCCTGTACCCATGTAGTTGTTTTTTTTTTTTTTTTACCCTCCTCCCCCTCCACAGGATGAAGGTTAAAAAAAATATCTACATATTTCTAAATCATTATCAAAGTACAATAATAAGTGCTTTCAATGATTTAAAAAGTAGTTCCTTTAGTTTTGTCATTGTTTTATTTTGCAAATAATCACATATCAAGTCAGGTGGACTTCCTGCATGACCCTACTTTTTAATTATAGCTAATTTTCATGCCGTTCTATCCAATTTATTGTGTATAATAAAGGTAAAATGTGAAGAATTTAGTGCGATCTGGAAGAATAACAGACTTGGAAGGAATTAAATATCATATTTTGAAGTATGTTGTTTACATTAGTGTATGATGTCTTCTGTAGATATTATTCTAACAGATGTTTTTCATAGTAAAACTCGACGAATGGATGGTCCCTTGCTTCCCAGACTCACTCACTTCAGTGTGATCAGGGGCATGTCTCATGGGGTGGTGAGGAAGAGATAACAGAATGAAAGCTTGGAGGGCTCTAGTCGAAAAATCATGATCTCCATTAGAGCTGAGCCCACCGGTAGAGCCCCATCTGAGGATCTAAGTTTGCAGGATTGCTCAGTGTGATGTTTTTTGTCAGTGTGCCATTAATTAGATTGTTTTTTATTCTAACTCTGATCAATTAATCAAAGTTTTTGCTTAAATTTTATGGCCCTAGCAATAACTTTGAGTGCTTTATAAACTGTAAAATATTAAGTATGATGGTGTTATTCATGTTTTGTCCTTTCAGGGTGATGTTATATCTCCTGATGTGTTGTTAGGTCTCTATGCAAAGTGTCCAGAAGGGAGCAGTCTCGTCTTATCTTCAGCACAACAACATGAGGGTTAAAAGCCTCAGCTTTCTCACTGGTGTGGTAATGCCATAAGGCTGTCTGTCTACAAACTGAAACAAAAGGCATGTTGATTTGACATTTAAAGACTATTTCAGGCCCTATTTGAGGAGTTTTGAGGCTGTTTTTAGAATAGGTAAGGAGGTATCTTGTGCACTGTTGTGACAGAAACACACCTTTCCTGGTAAAAGAGGCTGTGTTTGGCTTTGAGTGGAGTCATGACAACACAATACATCCCTGTGTGCGTTGTTAAGAGGACAGAGAAGTCACAGCCTGGAGTCAGGAGTGATGCCCTCTGGCTCAATGTCATATTAAGGCCTCGACAGGCCAACAGGTGGGCTCCACACTACTTCCACAGGCTTCAGAGGCCTCAGGGAGTAAAAGATACAGAGAGATGGCTGTTCTCCACCATCATTAATCTCCTGAGTTGGAAATTGAGAGGGGCGGGAGCCTTGATCTCCACCTTTTGACCTTGTCAGATCATTTGTTTTCATTAGTCTCCACTCAGACGAACTGGCCAGGCCCAGTCCAGACGCCCACCCTACCCCCTTTAAGCTGCAACCGTATCTGAGCGCGTCTCCAGGGGTCTTCTCCACTCATAACCCCAACCCCCAAAACGTAGCACTCAAGAGAGTCTCAGGATGCTTCTAAATCAGCATGGGTGATGCTTCACATCCGCTGGAAAAGACTCCCTCAGTGGTAATCCCTGCACACTGTGCAGCACATCCTCGTGTAGGGTTTAAGAAGAGGTGAAGTCAAACTACGGATTGTAAGATGGATTTCAGAGTTCCAAGAGTTCATGTCATGAGAGCAAAATGAGAGAAAAGATTCAAACGACATTTCTTCATGTGGTCTCCTGCTGTTCCTGTCAGCATGTGGGGTGACTGAGCGTTCCTCCTCTCTCTCTAACACTGTGTCTCTGGCAGCTGGGGACTAATTGGCTCCTGGTTCACCTAATGAAGCCTTCTCCCAGGTCATACCCTCTCCACCTGATGACCCAGTGCCGCTGCACTCTGGTCAGACAGATGCCCTGTTGTTTCCGTGCCGAGGCGTGGTATTACAGCAGTCACTCCAGCAGAGCAACACTTAAGGAAGCCTTGCGTGCAGCGATTAGATGCGTTAGGTCTTGCAGGGAAACAAAAAAGTTGCTGAATCAAGTGTTAGCTTTTCTCAAAAACAAACAAGGGTGGAGCCTAAGTGAGGTCCTAATGGCATGCTCAGGTTAAAAGCTGCCCAGTCAGAAGAAAAGGAGACTGCTGGAATCGCCACGTTCATCATGCTTGTGTTTTATCTCCAGACACGCAGCATCAAATTACCCAGATCAATCGGTCTGGGTGTGAGGGGTGGGCTAGGACCAGCCTTTGGTCTGTCATTAAAGAAAAGTGTGACATATTCATCAGGGAAGTGTGCGCAAAGCAACAGGTAAAAGATGTGAGTCATGCAGCTTGTGGCTCAAACTCTAAGGACTAGTTTAAATAAGAGGAATTCACTCTTAGCTGATGCTTGAGCATTTGAATTTAAAGCTCCAGTAAGGAACTTTTGTGTCTTTGCTTTTCTTGTCCTGTACACGCTCAAGTGATTTCCTGCTGACTTTTGACACCCAGTCATGTTATCTATTGTGAGTTTTTTTATGTGGAAATTGTTAAAAATAAATAAATAAATAAAATACAGCTGTTTCTTCAGTCAATCAGCTGTCACCTACCTCCTTGTACTAGTTTCATGCATTGAAAATGACAAAACACAAATTCACGACCCTGTCCCTGATGGTTTTGTTAACTTTTAGATACTACAAAAAGGCATCAAGTCAATTTCAGTCTATTTCCTAAACACCAAAAATTACTCATAGGAGCTTTAAAATAAAAGACAGTTTAATTACTTTAGTAATTATTCTACCTTCATTGAGTTTTTTAAATGTTTTTTGTTTTGTTAATTATTCACAGAGGATAAGTAGTAATGTCTGACTGACTTTTAACAGTTTACCTTAACATAAAAACTGTCATGAAAAACAAATAATGCCATTAAATGATGTAGTTAAAGATACAAATTTGTTTATTTGTATTTAATAATATTTTTGTCCTTTTGTCTCCTAAGTATGTGAAGAAAGAGTCTTCTCTGCTGATTTTAGCCTTTCAGGTAAACCTGAACACTGAGGACAGACACTGCAGTGTGTCTTTAAAGGGTTACCCAGGCCCATAATGAGCCCCAGCAAAGCCCAGCGCCAGGCCTAATGAAAACGCTGTGACATCTAAGGGGGAAAGATATTACAGGTCTAAACAACGAGGGCTGTTTTAACATGCATCAAATGGCAGAAAATGATGGTTATCACGAACACCTTTCAGACCCTAAATGCAGGTCTGCTGGCGGGGAGGCCTGGAGTTGAGAGACACGAGCTCAGCAATAAACACAGATGGCACGTTAGACTGCTCAGCGCCTAGAAATAAACAAACAGGGGATGAAAATGAGACATGAAAGCACAAAAAAGATGACGGTGACTTCAACACTCCAACAGGATTACTCACAGGTTATATTTATAAGGTTTGACGTAAAACTGAGAAGTATGTGCTTATATGTCACCCCCACACAACACACCTTTCATCACCTAGATCTTCAAGAAAACATATTGCATCACATGATAATGATACCTGAGAGATAGATATGTATCACAAGGACTAATTAGATAATCAGACACTTTAAAACCTATTTTTATCACCTGTGAGTTTCTTTGAAAATATAAATGTGGAGGAAATAATCACAGATATTCTCGAAATCTTTGTCAGAAGGTCATGTTCAAGCACAGACAAATTGAAGGACTTAATACCTGAATATTCATAAGATTTTTTTGGCTACATCCCAGGTAATATATAGTACTGCTTAAGCTTACACTGAAGTATTAATTACAGTCAGAACAATGTTGAACATTTACAGCAATTTTAAGACGTATCTATTTTGCATTTTAAAGCACAGAGGTAGACATTTTTAATTGTGAGGAACTTCCTGATTGTGTCAGCTTTGGCAGTCTCTGAGGACAAAGCACACATTCAATAAACCACCAGCCATACCATACAGCTACATACAGTGAGAGTCAGAAACAGTAACCATGGTAACAGAGGTACAGTGGAGGACTTCAGGAAAAAAAGGGTTTTGACTTAAAGGCCTATTCCAGTGTGGGAATTATGGGATATTATCACAACAGTGGCTGCAGACATGCAATAAAATATGTGAACATGCAAAAACAGAAATCACATATTTATGTCTCTTAGCTGATATTTTCTATATTTTATGTTTGAATGTTTTTTTAAACAGTTCTAGTGCTGTTTTCTTAAGCCAGTCATATTTACCACTTATCAACCATTCTCAGATTTACATCACACTTTAAATTCAATCAATTATATGTTAGTAAATTGTCTTAATGGCACCAATAAAAGTAACAATAAGTTAAGATTGATCATTTTCAATCTCCCATAACAGTACATCTTCTGATACCGTTAAGCAGAGTTATCCCTGACCTTTCACCCAACGGTAACTCACTAAACTCCTCATTATGTGTTTAATGGTCTGAGTGTCAGTTATAAATGCTCTACAGTAAACGAAAGGCATTCATTATTTTTATAAACCTTTAGCTCATAAACAGTAGGAGTTCAGAGGTGTGACAGGTATCGGCCCGGGGCAAACTCAATGACGTGCTAGGTCTTATGATAATACTTTGTCCCGGGCATGCTGCTCTTCCCCACCTCTTCTTCAGGATAATTTCAATAGCTCTTTGCCAGGGTGTGGTGAACTGCAGCTGCACTGTATTGTGTTTGTGTTCAGAGACAGCATGTTTATACATGTGAGTGTAAAAAGAAATGACTGGTTGTGCTAGAAGGAGAGAACGAAAGAAAAGAGGAATTTCTGAGGAAAGAGTCTGTTCAGAGGTCAAATTTCTTACTGTTGTGCAGCTTTTTAAAGTCATAATATTCATAACAAAGAACTTAAAGCGATATTCCGGCGTAAAATTAACTTAAGGTCAAACACACTGTAACACAGAGTTAGACACCCCCTCCAGAGATGAATGTTGCTGACCGCTTGCTTCTCTAGTTATACCAACTTTAGTGACGACCACAGAATAGCAATACAGAGCGGTCTGAGCAGCCATAAACAAACCTCAACCAAAACGCCACTCTATAGACACAAATAATGCTCAGAACAGCACCTAACTTCATCAACAGTACATATAGGGTCCCAGCCACAGCACTAGCCGCCAAACATCTTTTTAACTTTGCCTAATTTCTTTAACAAAGAGACTAAACACAACTCACCCACTCTCCTCCAGCAGCCGCTTGTTTGTAGCGAGACCTGGACCAGTCCATTACGGACTGCAGTGGGGTGAAGCAGCTCAAGGAAGAACATTTATGATCACTTCTTTATCATATTCTTGAAGTAATTATCACCATATTAATTATTTTGCACTGCAGACGTGGTAGTTCTTCTGCCTTAGCGTCTCGGTCTGATTGCATCTCCATGAAGAAATAAGAGAAGCAAGTGGCATTGTGGGCAGGTGCCAAGTCCAAATCGACATGGCACGCCAAATCATCACAGACTGCAGAACTTCAGCACTGAACCACTTGACCAGTGATCTTCTTTGAAAACTGTCAAGCCAGAAGGATGTTTCCAGTGAGAGTTGGACTCCGCCAGGGCTGCCCTTCGTCACCGGTTCTGTTCATAATCTCTATGGACAGAATTTCTAGGCGCAGCCAGGGGTTGGAGGGTGTCCAGTTAGGCAGGCAGAGGATCTTGTCGCTGCTTTTTGTGGATGATGTGGTTCTTCTAGCTTCGTTAAGTAGTGACCTTCAGCTCTTGCTGGGGCGGTTCGGGGCCAAGTGTGAAGCGGCTGTGATGCGAATCAGCAACTCCAAGTCCGAGGCCATGGTCCTCAGTCGGAAAAAGGTAGATTGCCTTCTCCGGGTCGGAGGGGAGGTCCTGCCTCAAGTGGAGGAGTTCAAGTATCTTGGGATCTTGTTCAAGAGTAAGGGAAGGATGAATTGAGAGATCGACAGGCTCGAAGCGGCGTCAGTAGTGATGCGGATGCTTAACCGATCTCTCTTGGTGAAGAAAGAGCTGAACCGTAAGGCGAGACTCTCGATTTACTAGTCGATCTATGAGCCGACTCTCACCTACGGTCATGAACTTTGGGTAATGACCAAAAGAACAAGATCGCAGATACAAGTGGCCGACAAATGGGTTTCCTCAACAGGGTGGCTCCCAGGGTATTCCTGGGCATGTGTGAGTCTGTCATTGTACGATAATGCTGTCAATGTACAAGAGAAGTGGTATGGTTTTGAGGAAACTATTATGGCTTACCTGAACATTCAAAATGAAGTGATTATCGTGAATTTAGCTGCTTTTGTTTTAGAGGATTATGATTCAAATTGCATTAACACCAACAAACCAGAGCTGTTGTCCACATCTTCACATCTTGATATTGTTGCAGGTGTAACATTCACACATACACACACACTGGCCCACACACGTATGGAGCACACTTGATATGAGACCAGCACTTGTGGAAACCAAGGCCTGGAGGTAGCCTTGGCATTTCATGGATCTGAAAGACGGATTGAGCTCAGATGGTTCAGGATTTATGATGTGAGGCGAGCAACCTGAGGGACAAGCCAACTCCTCCCTGAGCTGGCAGCCACCAGTGATGGAGAGATTTACAGGCACGATATTACAGCTGACTGCTCTTAGACCATGGGAAAAGTCAAACGGACACACAAATACGGCATCCTCGCAGGAAGCTTGAAAGCCGAATTAGCGCTGGATCCCTCGGTGCTTGTTTCTACCTAAGACTTTGGAGACTCAGGTCAGGAATCGCTCAGCCAAACTGAACACTGACGGGTACATAAATTAAGTGTTTGGAGAGCTCTGAACCCCTGAGTTGAGATGCGTGCAGCGTATATTTGGAAAAAATCTTGATCCCGACCTCGGAAAAGTATGTATAATAAAGGAGGTTTGTGTGGTTTTTGGTACTGGCCCACCCTTGATGCTGTAGATTGCACTGTAAATCTGGAAAAGGGTATTTTCTCAATGGACTGTCAAAGCCCTCATGAAATATGCATGCACTAAACATGTTCCTAGTGCAATAGAGTGTTTATTTAATGCTAATGAGCGTGCTTAGCCCCGCAGAGAGAGTTCATAATCGTCGATACACTGTTTTTATTGGCTTTCTACGACGTTTGTACTCGGGATCAGTACATTATTACAGAAATGAGGGTTCTTAGTGGATCAAAAATACAATAAATTGAAGATTTTGTGTTTTTCCTCTTAGGATTCGTGTTCAAAAGTTTGAACTCACTGTAATAATAAGCCTCATCTCCTGTTGACAACAGTGTTAAGGAATGTAGGGAGCATTAAAGCGACGCTCAGATGTCTGACTGACCTTACTTCCCTCAACCCTGAGCTGAACTCCATTAAGGGATGCCTGCAGTCTGTAATTTAACCGACAGCCTCTTATCATGTTTGTCTTCTTCTTCCTCAGGGGGGTTGACTGGTTGCCCACAGACCAGCTTTACTTCAGTTCATCCAGCTTTCCTCTGAGAATAACGGACATGACAGCTGCGTGACGGATGGAAAATAGAAGACTGAAAAATGACTGCGTACACGTCTAATGAGTATAGTTCAGGACAAACAGCATGTGTTTGAGATATTTCTGATTAACTTAAGTGCTTTGACTGGAAATGTCTGGAGTGAGTTACTCTTCAATCAGCAGCAATTGTATTCACCGTTGAGTTTTGCAACAATGAAGCATGATTGTTCGTACAGAGGGAACATGTGAACTAAGAGGACATAGTAATTTATGGTTGCGTTGGTGCAACAAATAAAGTTAAAAGTCACAGCTCAGCCATCAGAGATTGATATTGAACCAAAAGTCAAGCCCTTCTACAGCATTTTTATGTATTTTGAAACTTTTTAATAACTGGATATGAAATCACAGTACATGATTATTTTACTCAAGGAAATCACTTGACCCCCTTGCCATGTAGTCAGGGTTGGTGTACTTTGATGAATCGCAAAGATATCTGACTTTTTATGTCTTTGAAATTTTGTTCAACACAAATGAATTTATGGTGCAATAAGGTGCAGACGATACGATACGATACGATACGATATGATATGATATGATATGATACGATACGGCACAATAAGGTATGGTGCAGTATTGATATTTGATCCAGTACCATAGAGAACAAAACAACATGATATGAAACGATACAATATGATACGATATGATTCAATACGATGCGATACGAGCAATACGATACTATATGATACAAGCAATACGGTACGGTACGATACGATGAGATAAGATACAATACAAATGATATGATATGATATGATACATTTTATCATCTACCTGGGATATGATACAATATGATACTATACAAGCAATATGATGCGATTCGATACGAGCAATACGATACAATATGATACAAGCAACACGATACGATACTATATGATAAGATGCAATACAATACAAATTATACAATACGATATGATATCATACATTTGATCATTTACTTGGGTAAATTATTAAAAATCATCATCCTTAAAGAGTGTTTAAATGCCTGCATATAAAGGTCCCTGCCTAAGCTAGGAGTCTTTGGTTGCCTGTAGCAACAGTCCTCCACCCAGTCTTGCACCCTGTCATACAGGTAGATCATGTGTGTCTTACCTCTGCTTTCCCCTGGATGACCTTGTCACACTGTGTCTGTGGTGACAGAGGAGCCCTGGGGCGTTGGGACCACACAGCCTTGTCATCTCAGTCCAGATCAAAGGGGCCCTGCTCCACTCTGACAGGAGCCAAGGCCCTCGATGAAGGCTACTGAGCACAGAGCTGGAATGGGTGGGTGGCAGGGGCGGATTATGTCTGTACTGTACCGTTTACCCTGGGTGGGGAGGCTTTGGGGACAACTCTATCCGGTTTCTGCTACTTTGTTCATTAGATAGTTGACATATCTGTGATTAGAAAGCACTTGTAATATGGAGAGATGAGTGAAACGAGAGAAGTGAGAGAAAAAGCATGCCAGGAATGTTAAAACAAAAGCACAAGAGAGGAGAAGTGATGGAAATTATGGAGCGTAATGCGTCTTTGGAGGACCTCCACCCAGACAGAGCTGCAGTGAAAGATTATTCTTGGCCCTGGAGCTGCTTTCTTGTGACCTCAGAGTATTGCTGACATGCTCAGTCTCTCCGCTGAACAATAAATACTGGCTGAGAGCAAAGATCAGGTAATTAAGACAGACACAAGCCTGATATAAAGGGTTCATAGAAATACTTCAGCTTGCTTTGTTTTGCTTTTAAGCCGAATAAAAGTGTATAGGAGTGGATTTAGAAAGCCTGAGAAGAGCTAAACTAATGTTAAAAAGTGGAATTCATTTATGTTATGCAAAATATTTTAATTTTTCTCATGTTTATATTGCATTTAGCAATTCAAAATAATTACAGTAATGAATCTAATCTATCATGCATCATACTTTCCTCCAGTGTGTCCCACTAACCTGCTGTACACCGGTTAAGAAAACTCTTTTATTCTTGCTTCATATCGGTCTTTATTTCTTCATGTAAATTATGTTTCCCCTGTTTTCCCCACTTGACAGCATCCCTATAACTTGACTCCCAAGCCTTCTCCTGATCAGCTTTGCTTTCTAAAGGCCACATCATAAATTCCTGGACCTTGATATTTTCCCTCTATTCCCACAGGGCCATAACGATGCGAGGCTCTTTGTTGAAAGCACCTGTTCCCAGCTCGAATAATGGGCCACATTTTCATCCGGCATATACTCCCCCAGGGACGCACAGCCTCCAAGCTTTCAACTGGAGGGTATCTGGTAGCCAGTGAGTGTTCACTGCAACCCTCTGAGCTCTTACCAGCACACCTTGATCCTCTGACCAGAGGGATCTGTTAGTGGAAGTGGTTAAAAGGAGAGGCTGATTATCATGTAATAGAGGTGGGGGTACAATGTTATGCAATGACTGTGATCATTGACTGCGTGTACATATTAATGATGAACCCTCCCAGTCTATAAAAGTGAAGCCAAAACAGCATCATGATGGCATGTGCAAAAGTGATTGGTCTGTTACCATTGCTCAATAGACTTTGCACCACTTTTTGCTAACCTAAGCAT